ATAATTGTAAACAAACACAAAACCCGGGTATATGTGAAACGCAGTTAAATGCAGTTAAAGACTGATTCATTTTTTGCTAACTTTTTTTTTAAATTTAATATAGTGTATGTTTCAACATTAAACGACGAAAAGATGTTTTGTTTACGAACGCAGGTCGCTGGTTCACACGCAATGGATCTCTTGTAATTTCGGCCACAATAATTTAATAAGTATATCACCAACATGACCAACATAGATAAGATGAAATAATTTGAAAGATCCGATTTGACTAAAAAAAAAAAACAATTATCCGTACATAGTTGAGTTTGCAAAATAGATTTAGAACGGCAATGCCTGTTTAGTGTATGGCCACTGATCACTGGATCTAGGTCACGCGTGATCGGGGGATGGCCGGTTACGTAATTATAAACAAAAACAAACCCCGAGACGTATTGAAAATGTGTGACTCAATAATTTGGAGTGAAACCACAGAACACGTAAAAACCTTTTTTAAAGTAGTATTAGTATTTATTTTGGATAGGTTTATCATTTATAGCAAGTTTATTTCAGTTATGCGCATAAAGATTTCACCTTCACTTGTCTAATGAAACTAGTTACCTGTATATGGGTCAAGCTTCTAGCTCAATTATTAAAAAAGACTCGAACAAAATAACAAGTTCACGAGATCAATAATATGTTAAAGAACAACTTTTTTAGCGACAGCTATATCGAAATATTTACCGTTTTTGAGTTATAAAACGAAAACTTTCAAGGACCCTAGATCCCTAATTTAAGGGACCAGCCCCTTTTTGGAGGTGCCAAATGAAAGACCTTAAAATTGTGCACAACTTTTATTCAACATGTCTCAACAAAATATTTTTAGTTTAAAAGATACATAGGAAAATATGTGTAAATTTTCGCGCTTTTAGGCGTTCTAATTTTTGACCCCTATCTAGCGCCATTTTGAACACAGAAATCAAAAAACAAAAATAGATGTGCACAACTTCAATGCTTCTATTATTTAAATTCGGTAGAATTTCTACTCCAGCTTTTGTAGTCTCGGAGCCTTTATCCGGAAATAAAGAGTCCTAAATTTTCATTTAAAGGGAGATAACTCAAAAGCAGAAGTGGATTTTTGACATGTTTGACAGCATTCTGATAGAGTTTTGTAACGTCTATAAACCCTGCAAATTTGAGCAAAATCCGTTGAGAAATGAGCGAGATATGAGGCCTCAAAGTTGGCGTCTAGAAAGGAGAAGAAAAAAAAAAAGAATAATAATCTTAACCATCAGAATCAGTAGAAGGTCTTCCGTTGTGACGAAAGACCTTAATTATTCTTCATAGTTTCTCTCTAAATATTAAACGCACTTTCTCGAAAATTCTAGATCCACCAGCCTATTGTTATAAATAGATTAGAGCATTCGGGATTCCTCGCGCACAATCTGGAATTGGGATACTCGTAGTATCAAGAACTTTCATTAGTGGTATATAAAGGCAGACCCTAACCCAAGATGTCAGTTAAACGCAGTCTTACAAACCATAAAGACAAGCTGTTACTTTGTAACGAGGATACGCAATCAACAGTAAGTGATAACCTGACACACATTTTGTACTTTCACTTTAGTGTTTGTAAACAATCATGGCTAGTAAAGCCCCAGCAATCGGCATTGATCTCGGAACAACATATTCCTGTGTTGGTGTATTTCAACATGGAAAGGTGGAGATTATTGCCAACGATCAAGGAAATAGAACGACACCCAGTTATGTGGCATTCACGGACACGGAGAGACTCATTGGAGATGCAGCTAAAAATCAGGTAGCGTTAAACAGCGGAAATACGATTTTTGACGCCAAAAGGCTGATTGGACGCAAATTTAATGATGACAGTGTGCAAGCTGACATGAAACACTGGCCGTTCAAAGTCGTCAATGATGGAGGAAAACCAAAGCTTGAGGTAGAATACAAGAATGAGAAAAAACGATTTACACCTGAGGAAATTAGTTCCATGGTGCTGACCAAAATGAAGGAGACAGCAGAATCTTACCTCGGACAGCCCGTCAAAGACGCCGTCATTACAGTCCCAGCTTACTTCAATAATGCTCAAAGAGAGGCTACCAAGGATGCTGGTGTCATAGCCGGTCTCAATGTTCTCAGGATTGTGAACGAACCCACAGCGGCCGCCCTGGCCTATGGACTTGATAAAAACCTTTCAGGTGAGAAAAATGTGCTGATCTTTGATTTGGGTGGAGGAACATTTGATGTGTCCATCCTTACCATAGATCAGGGTTCCATGTTTGAAGTTCGCTCAACTGCTGGTGACACACATCTCGGAGGTGAAGATTTTGATAACAGATTGGTGAATCACTTTGTACAGGAATTTAAGCGCAAGTACGGTAAAGACATTTCCAACAACCAACGTGCACTTAGACGACTCAGATCGGCTTGTGAACGTGCCAAGAGGACACTGTCCAGTAGCTCTGATGCCAGCATTGAGATTGATTCCCTTTTTGAGGGCATTGATTTTTACAGCAAAATCACACGAGCAAGATTTGAAGACTTGTGTTCCGATTTGTTCCGTTCTACCCTGGAGCCGGTAGAAAAAGCTCTAAGAGATGCTAAGATGGACAAATCCAAAATCCACGATGTGGTACTGGTAGGCGGATCGACAAGAATTCCCAAGATCCAAAAACTGCTACAAGATTTCATGGGAGGTAAAGAACTTAATAAATCCATCAACCCAGACGAAGCTGTGGCTTATGGTGCTGCCATCCAGGCTGCCATTTTAAAGGGAGACACAAGTGAAGCCATCAAAGACGTTCTCCTGGTAGATGTCACTCCACTTTCTTTGGGCATTGAAACTGCTGGAGGAGTCATGACCAAAATTATTGAAAGAAATGCCAAAATTCCCTGCAAGGCATCAAAGACATTCACTACATATGCTGATAACCAGCCAGGAGTGTCCATTCAGGTATTTGAAGGGGAACGAGCTATGACCAAAGACAATAACAAACTGGGTAAATTCGAACTAAACGGAATCCCACCAGCTCCCCGTGGTGTTCCACAGATTGAGGTGGAGTTCAATTTAGATGCCAACGGAATCTTAAATGTATCAGCTAAAGACATGAGTACGGGCAAGTCCAACAAAATCACCATTACCAACGACAAAGGTCGCCTGAGTAAGGCTGACATAGATAGAATGGTAAATGAAGCCGAAAAATACAAAGATGAAGACGAGAAACAACGGCAAAGAATATCAGCTAGGAATCAACTAGAGTCATATGTGTTCTCTGTCAAACAGGCAACAGAGGAACATGCAGACAAACTCCCGTCTGAAGACAAAGACACTGTGACCAGAGTTTGTAGTGAAACGCTATCATGGTTAGATGGTAACGCCCTAGCAGATACTGATGAGTTCGAATTCAAACTAAAGGAAGTTCAAAAAGTATGCTCTCCCATCATGGCAAAACTTCATGGAGGAAACCCGAACCAGTCTGGTGCTAGTCAGGCTAATGGTGGTCCTACAGTAGAGGAAATGGACTAGATGTGTGATCATTTAACACAATTTTCAGTTTCATTATGTCTCTGTCTCAATTTTTGTCTCATTGATCATGTATAGATGTGATGAACGTTTAAAATGTATAAATTATTATATCGAGCGATTGACCGAGCGAATACTAGTATATAAAATGAGTATCATTTCAATTCACTATTATTATACAATTGTTTTGTTCTAAATAAAAAATAAATGGACATTGAAATTTTTTTTTATCTCTTAAAACCATGGATAGTTCTGAATATCACGTTTAAACGGAAAAATAATAATAACTGAGAACATGTATATGGAATTGGAAGAAATGGAACAGTGTGTGACTCAAAATTTTATTTCCTATTCAACAAAATCGAAATATCAAATATTCCCCATATGAGACTTCCAACAAGCCGGCATGCAACTTGTTCAAGTCAGCTTGCAAGAACATTTGAAGTTTGCAATGGAAAGAAACGCAGGAAGTTCTGATTGTGATCACTAGTACACGGCTGAAAGGATCCAAATAATTTATCAGTCTTCATATGTAACGATATACATGTAAAAAAATATATTCATTGAACATAAATACGTTTCAGCAAAACAAGTTGCATATCTACATAAATAATTTTTTAAGTTTCGTCTTGCATGTTTGATGTCACAAGTCGACGCGAGGGAAACTGATTTGGAGCTAGGTAATAGATCAGCTCCTGTGTAGTTAAATTCAAAGTTATGTTGATTTTGAATCTTTAATTACCTATTAAAACCACTCTCAAATATTTAAGAAAAGGTGAAAAAGAATAGTTGAAAGATTAAAAAAAAATGGGGCCGGTAGGTGGGAAATTTTTCCCCGCAGAAATTTTTAACTTCTTTGCTGAATTTTCAAAATGTTATTATTGGAAATGAAAATAGTTGTTGATGGGATGAGAAAACCTCGGAATGAATAAAAAAAAATAATCGTTTTCTGGAGGTTTAAAAAAGTTTTGAGTCGGGCCATTTTTAGCCAGTCGGACGGGAGAGGGCAAACAAACAATTTTTGAAAGATGGCCATAGAGTCGCACAGTTGGTCGGATCTTAAATATCTATCAGCAATAGCTTTGTACTACTTGTAAAATAGGAAAAAAAATTACTACTTGAAATATTTTTTTCCCTGTTTTGGTCTATACACAGGAGTTCGCATATCTATCAATTTAACCGAAATTTTCAGTAAATAAAAAAAATACGTAATACCTATAATAGTTATTATTATAGGTATTACGTATTTTTTTTATTTACTGAAAATTTCGGTTAAATTGATAGGTATGCGAACTCCTGTGGTCTATATAATGGGAAGATACTTCATTTTTAATATTATAAGAGAATGAACAGATGTTCAAGGTGGTATCCCGCAAGATTTCAATGATGTGCTCTTTTTCAAAGTGTCCATTGAAAATATTAAGCTCTGGACCTGTTTTATACTGAACATGCGCATTCCCAACAAAACTGTCACTGAAGAGAATAAAATTGTTATAAAAAGCATTTATTTAAAAAAAAAACCTGATTTCAACAGCCAACATTTGAAATACCAGTAATTAGAATATATATTAGATATGACTAAATATATTTATTCTACTAATCCATCCATCATCATGTAAGTAATAGTCCCTGTATATAAGGGTATATCCTGGATAATGAACACAATCTATGGTGAATCACAAAAAGTTTGTAAATTTAATTTGCTGCCAAATACATATTCAATCATAAACGATCAATTTCTCCAGATACAAAGCTCCATTTGATTTTCAGCACTTGTCTTCAGCATTCTTGTATTTACTGGACTCTATACCTTCATTGTCAGCCATTTCTTTGGGTTCTCTTTCAGAATTTTATCAATGGTGGCCTGGGAAATACCTCTGTTTAACATGTGAGGGACCACATTGATGAGGATATGAGAGTAACCATGACCCCCAAACTTCATCTACAAAACCATTTTATAGAAAAAATGATAAAACAAAATCTATATGTGTAAAGCAAGCTTGAATCTACACGTTTCATAACGTACATTCTCACATGCAAGCATACACCACAGCACAAGCAGGCTCTAATGATAATTGATTTACAATGATTTTCTCAGTGGAAAAAGATTAACAATATATAGGGCTTGGATGATATATCGAGATACCGATAATATTGATTCAATGTGAGAATGATACGCATATCAATACATATGAAGAAATATCGAAATATCGCAAAAAAAATCTGACTTATAATTTTTCTTTGTTTACTTAACATTTTGGGTTAAATATATGAAATAAATATGCAAAATATAAAAATGAATATGAAATACATAATAATAAACACCACTTGTGTAAAATAATTTTGTATTACAACAGATATACAACTTCTTTGAATAAATTATTCATATTTGTGAAGAAATGTTTTGTTCATTTCAATACAGAAAAAAAATTTATAACTAATTCAACATATCGTGATACATATCGTATTGTGGCTCAAATATTGTGATACGTATCAATATAGAAAATGTTGTATCGTCCCATCCCTAACAATATAGTATAACAGTATAAATGTACATTGTAATATTACAATAACATAGACCTCTAAGTCAATAGTTTTTGGCCTAGTTTAGTTCTGGAGAGACCAAAAAAAGACATGGCTTTATCTGTATACAATCAAACCTCTTTAACTCTAACTCTATGGGACAAAGAAAAAACTTCCAAGATACATGTATCTAAGGATTCAAGATAACGTGGATAAAAGAATAAGCATTTGGGACTTCCAAATCACTTCATGGCCCCATGGTTTCAAGATATTTAAGTTCAACTTTACATAGATCCTTTAATCTTGTGAACATGAAAAATAGGATTTCATATTTCAAAGCAAATACATGTATTAGCATACCATGGACAAATTCGAATCTTCCTTCAAAGATGTGTTTTTCTTTTTTTTCTTTTAAAACTTGAGTTATATGTTAGTGATGACATGCTGGACCTTAGAATTAAAAGGTAATCAAACATACACTCTATTTGGTTTCTAAATGAGGACAAATGTATGGCATTTTATTTTTCTAGAAATGACACTGGATTATTTCAAATTTTGGCAGGATATTTTGTAAATTTTTAAAATCTTACCAGTCTATGTTTGGTGTGTATATCGTGAGCAATAACAATTTTGTCCTCAAATCCTTGATCTATCAGGAACTGGATGTTCTGAATTCTCTGAGCATCACTTGGCATGTCCACTTTATAATTGTGAGTATACATGGAGGTCTCAATCCCAAATAAATCATATTCACAGTAGCTACCCACTGCTGCAAATTCAGCTAGCTTATTTTGGTCAAATATTGTCCCTTTCAAAAGAAAACGAAATGCTTTTACTACATCATAGACATAAAAAGGCTATTAAAATATACTCTTTTTTTTAACATACACAAGTGTGTTAAGACTAGGTATGGATGTTTCAATACAAAAAAATGTATAAGGGCTAAAAAAAATTTACAGAGAAGTTTAGAACTTATTGTTTAATAATACTTGATACTTGCAACATTATATAACTAGTACACATTACAACATCATATAATGACACCATTGTTCTTTACTACAAAAGGTTATAATGAACATCAACCAAAAAAAAAGCTTTGGCACAAGGGCATGCCCTATTCAGTTTTACAGAAACAAATTATAATAAGTAGCAGAACATTCCAAGGATTGGTGTTATTGCTGCACAAATACTGATATATTACTAAGTATTAACTATCTAGAATATTCTGTTACAGATAGGCTATTATGTTACGGAGTACTAACTATCTTGTTATTCTAATACAGAGTACTAACTATCTAGCTTATTCTATCACAGAGTACTAACTATCTAGACTATTCTGTTGTTATGGAGTACAATCTAGGCTTTTCGTTACAGAGTACTTACTATCTAGACTATTCTGTTGTTACAGAGTACTAACTATCTAGGCTATTATATTACAGAGTACTAACTATCTAGGCTATTATACTACAGAGTACTAACTATCTTGGTTATCATATAACAGAGTACTCACTATCTAGATTATTATATTACAAAGTACTAACTATCTAGTCTATTATATTACAGAGTACTAACTATCTAGGTTATTATATTACAGAGTACTAATTATCTAGGTCATAATATTACAGAGTACTAACTATCTAGGCTATCATATTACAGAGTACTAACTATCTAGGTCATTAAATTACAGAGTACTCACTATCTAGGTTATTATATTACAGAGTACTAACTATCTAGATTATTATATTACAGAGTACTTACTATTTAGGCTATTATATTACAGAGTACTAACTATCTAGGTCATTATATTACAGAGTACTCACTATCTAGGCTATTATATTACAGTGTACTAACTATCTGGGTTATTATATTACAGAGTACTAACTATGTTATTATATTACAGAGTACTTACTATCTAGGCTATCATATTACAGAGTACTTACTATCTAGGTCATTATATTACAGAGTAACTAACTATCTAGCCTATTATATTACAGAGTACTAACTATCTAAGTCATTATATTACAGAGTACTTACTATCTAGGTTATTATATTACAGAGTACTTACTATCTAGGCTATTATATTACAGAGTACTAACTATCTAGGTTATTATATTACAGAGTACTAACTATCTAGACTATTATATTACAGAGTACTTACTATCTATGCTATTATATTACAGAGTACCAACTATCTAGGTCATTATATTACAGAGTACTAACTATCTTGGCTATTATATTACTGTGTACTAATTATCTAGGTTATTATATTACAGAGTACTTACTATCTAGATGAGCCATGACCAGTTTGTTGACATCTCCTCCAGCCTCTTGGTAAACTCGGATAATTTCAAATGGGGCTTTTGAATCCCTTCCTGGATGAATATTGACTGGACATCCTAACTCACTCTGAACATTCGCAGCAGCTTGTATGGCTATCCTTTCACTCTCTGAATAATAAAAATTTTGTCCATATTAGAGCATGTACAATAAACAGAGGTCTCTGTCATTTATTTAAAAGACAGCACTGCAGAAACACAGAGTTGTTCAGAATTTAATATCAAATAATGGAGAGTCTTCACTATCAATAAGATAGTATCCTCATTCTTTCACATCAGAATTACTGTACTTATTATAGTGGGATTCATATCTTAATTAGCACCTTTGGAACAAAATGAAAACTTTGCACCAAATAGTCTGTGACAAACATTTAGAGTAAATTTGAATCTACTTAAATAAATACAAATCTAGAATTATGGGCAATGGCACCCCTCCAAGATAGAAGGAGGAAAAATTGTAACTTACTGCCAAGTGGCCAGCTACATCCGATTTCTCCAATGATCCCACATTTGATATCCCCACCATCTGCTCCATGAAGAAGATCTGTCTTCATAGCTTCCTCCATCTCTTCTGATGTCATCTTCAATGTTTCAGGTCGTGATGACTCCACATAAAAACCTAACAAATAAAATATCTATGGTATGACATTTAAGCATTCTTATTTCTCTCTCTCTCTCTAAATTGTACCATAAAGTATGTGCTTAAAATTTTCAGTCTTATTATAACAATTTTAAGGTAAAATGAATTTAAAAAAAATTCTCAGATTTTTCTTCCCAGGAAAGCATTACAAATGAGTTGTGCAATGTAAGTGTCTGAAGAGGGCTTGTTCATGTTTAGTTTACATGTTTTTTATGAAGTGATAGGCATACACATCAACAGAAAATGGACATGTGTGGTCATTTGAAGTCTCTGAGACTCTTTACTAACATGCTCATGTAATTATGATATCTAGTTATACCTATATTTTAATGAAAATTTTTCACATTCTTTCACCATATTTTTAGCTTTAACCAAATTGTCAAAAATACACAAAATTTACTTACCATATCACTTTCAATGGTGGATATATTACCTGTTCCTGCAACAACATTCACTCCAGTTTCTCTGGCAACATACTGATAAAATTTAATGTCACGCTTGATTCCAATTGTGGTGTTTTCCACAATTGTTCCTCCCCCATTTTTCTATAATTCAAACAGAAATAATAATAATGAGACTCAAACATGTCAAAGAAGAAAAATTCTTAAGAAATACTTCCCTTGAGACAAGCATAAATATTTTGAGTGTTTCTTTATATGGCATGATAATTACACAACTGCAAAATTGTCACTATGTATTCATCAATTACATTTGTGAATTTAGTGATAACTGTATTCATTAAACCTTGTAAAAATCCATTTCTTCAACAACAGCTGCATTTTCAGTTCCTAAATCCAAATTTGGTCTGTTTGAGTATCTGAATAGAAAGTGTGCATGATAAATCTTCATGTGCACACCTCATAAATCAGTTCCATACAGACAACCCCACAAATCTGATTATTGTATTGTGATATAGTTTATCAAGAGAGAAGAGGTTAACAGAACATCTGACAGATGAATTCCTAATTGTCAATTATACAATGCTAATATTTTATTCACATCAGACTTAGCCACATGATGTGGTAACATGGTAACTCTGGTACATCTATGTCTTAAACACTTACGGATACTGCCGGATATACCACAGGGTGTCTAGTGCAACAGGTGCTTCCTCCAAATACTTGTATTTGGGGTCAATAGGAAGTCCCAGTGCAAGGGAATCCAGAGAAAGATGTTCATGGGTCAAGGTTATTCCCAGGGCATCAGGGTCTACCGGACCTAAAACTATTAAATTAGCCTAAATAAAAAAATTAAATTCAAGAACATGTAATGAGCACTTAAAATTCAAATCAGATAACAGTGTCGTCATCTGGTCATGCTGGTATGCACCTCTTTTAAAGTTCACAATTTAGACCCAGGAATCATTTTAGGCATAGAATTGGTATGAAATGAAAAACGGTTCACATATAATTTTCATCTACCATAAAGTTGAAGAAAGAAAAAACAGCACAGGTGTAGAATTAACATTACACTGATAGTGACATGTGTAATCAATGTTATTTAAGCTTTTATACTTTAAGTTTAATGAATAAGTTCGTATAGGTATGGATGTATGATGTGCTAATTTATAGTTTACCGGTCTGAACTTTTTCTGTCATCTCTGAAATCCCTACAAAAATGAAAACAAATGAATGACAGTATGTACTAACATGTATAATCTGATAGGCTAGTGATAAAACGTGTTATAAATTCAAGTACAATTGTAGGTCTAGTGTTCGCAGATAATGTCATCACAATACATTTGTATACTACAAAGGAACATTTAATTATAACATTATAGACCAAATGATTACTTACCTTCCAAACGGGTCGAAAACCTAAAGTAAAGCTTTCGTGACACCTTTGACTTTATGGGAAACCGAAAGTAGATTTTTCTTTATTCAGGAGCGGATCTAGATGTGAATTTCTGAGCGGATCTAGATGTGATGAGAATTTTTTTCCAGGTATCTTGTACAGGGTTGTCCCTAAGATTTGAAAGAGCAGGGGGCATTTAAAAAAGTAGAAGGGGGTCTGGGGGTCCTCTCCTGAGAGGGGGTTATGGGTGAATATCAGAAAACAGGGGGATTACACGTCAAAATAGGCGGGAAAATCCATTGGCCCCCGGGTCTTGGGGACAACCCTGTTGTAAATTCTGGTTCACCTACGACCCCTTTAATAGGAGCCCCCCTCCCTTCCTCCTTGCATTTGTGTCATAGAAAAATATTTTATGAAAAAAAGTCGAACCCTTTTGGGATGGGGGGGGGGGGGGGGAGGGGAGTTCTTTGATAGCCTTCTGTGTGGCAGTGAGGCAACCCAGTGCCTCCCTTGAAATTGTGTACACAAACTGGCTGAAGACCAAATTAATATTGTTCGTTTGCGTGCTAGCTTACAGCCACTATTTCAAGAAACTTCTTTTAACGGCATGTCATATAGTAACTAAGTAAAGCACTGATGCAGACATTGTGTCAGTTTTGTAGATTAGAATCTTGGATAGTAATGACTGATTAAGAGCCATTCTCTATATTGACTTGAACTTTTATATAGGAGCTGTGGCACGCATAGTCTCAGAATTTCTCCAAACTCTCTATGATAAAAGTCTTTGATACCGTAAACTCAATTCAGGCAAAAATTGATTGCTACGTGTCATGGTTACCATAGCAACATGTCCTAACGTTTGAAAAATGGCATTTTTCAACATGTTCAGAGTCCCCCAGTTAACGTTTGCAGCAAAGCAAACAAATGGCAATGACTGTTTCTGAAAGTTGAAGGCCTGATGTCTTTAATACATGATAAACATGTTTGGTAAATCAACTATTACATACGTTACTATGGAAACAGAGTATTCAAAAGTAATAATTTTGTTCATTTAATTTTATAAAGTCATACACTTAAGAACAAAAACAATTATAGGTTGAAATGCAGGCAAATAATAGACAAGAGATCCTTGTAACATATACCAAGGACGAAATAAGATATCTCTTATAGGTTGGCAATGGTTGCCATGGTTTTAATACCAGAAGGGATTTTTAAATTTGCTCTCTTAGTGTTTTAATCTTATCCTATCTTTTTAAAAAGCATATTTCTATATAACTGATGATCAATTTTTAAAGGCATTGGTGTCAAAAAATTCAAATTAAATTCTTTAAATAGAGCGTTGCTATGGAAATAAGGCGAAAAAACATGCATAAAAATCTGAAAATTATTCTGTTTCCTTGGATACGTACCCCTGTTTGTAGATTCCCAAAACTTTAATGATTGATATATATGGACAGCTAACATGACTTTCAATTTTGACTACCACCCAATCTCTAACTGGATGCAAAAAGCTGACACATAAGGTTTAATATTGACATAAAATTAACAAAATCGAACATTTTCTCTTCTTGGTAACCATAGCAACAGTGTTGTATTTTTCAACAAACTTTATCAATATATGATATTCAACTTTAGTTCTACCAGATAAGTACAATTCAAGGTGAGTCAAATAATATGTTTCTTGATTAAAAGATAATTCCTAAAGCAGCAAAAAAACATCACTTTAAACACTAGTATGTTGTTTCCATGGTAACACTGCAAAGTAACAATTAATCCCAATTTTTCTTATGTTGTGGGTGTTGCAAGGTCATAAAGATGTATATGTGCCAATCATGAATTTTATTGTTTTCCTCAAGATAGCAGCATTAACCCAATCATAGCAACAGATTTTGCATGGTAACACTGTGTTACCATATCAACCATGAAAGTTATTTTTAGAATAATATTGCCAATACCTTATTACTTAAGGTCAATATTTTTCATTGTTTTTCTTAGGTTATTGATTGAGTTTGATCATGTAACATCTATCATTTGTGAATATTGAGCGTTTTCAGCATTTTTCAGCAGCTAAAACGTATTCCAAACGTACCCATGGTTACCACTTACTTAGAGATAAATTCTAAATAGTTTCTTTATAGCATAAGTGGCAACAAGGTATCATGTTTTTGGGGGAACGGTTTGTTTGTTTTTCTTAGTCTTTATTAAGGTTTAATAAAGATTCAAAGTAGCTGAAAATCTCAATTTTTTCAACTTTTTTGGCTGTTGCCATGGCAACCAAGACACATAGCAACGAAATTTTATTTGATATATGTTTCTGGTGTCAAGTTGTAATAATGGGCAAAGTTTCATCAAAATTGGTGACCACGCGTGGCAAAGAAGTTTAAGTGGTTACAGAGAATCGCTATTAAGAAAAATAGTCAACTGGTAAAAGTTTCTGTGCAATGACATAATTTTTGCATTCTAAAACCCTCAAATCCATTTTCGGTCGAAAGCTTCGCCCCCTTAACCCTCCCATCACCAGGGTTTCGCCCTAGCTGGACCTGAGGGGGCCTATTGCGGCCCCCAGCTGGTATGGTTTGTTTTGTTCGGTAGAATATAAAATCAAGCTATATAATATACAATTTTTCTCGAGAATTTTTGATTGCAATATAATACTGTTACAAGTTAAATTAATAAGCAGAATAATCAAAATGACTAAATTAAAGGTGACCGACCTCTGATAGGGTTTGGAAATTAATCATAAGGCAGGTTTGGATACAATTGCTATGGATGCTTCTTGACTGAAACTGCAGAAGGTCGATCATGACAAGATCATAGGACTGTCCAAAAAAGCTTTTGGACACGTCGTGGTGCTAATTCATCTTTTTAAAGCAAAGATGAATCTTGACTTTGCTTTAGACATTTTGACGTTGTCTTCCGTGCGCTGTACGGCGATACCGAAAGTGTCATAAAATCCCATAAATTTGTTTATTTGAGCATATAACTCTTTGAAATTTGCTATGTATATTGATGAAAAGTGTACTAAAAAGTACGGAAATTTTCAGAAAACATCAATCTAGACTACTTGTCCACGATTTTACCGGACCACCCCCTTATAAGCCACACGCCGAGTTGGATATAGTTTCATAATAACATTATAAATAGGGATTTTGTACTTTCATCTCGTGGACACATGTCATTTTTTTCCTTATGATTATCTCAAAACCAAGTGTGTACGATAATATGTTAATACAGACCGTAATTGAGTACATATATTAAAAAAAAAACTATGAAACTCTCGTACATTCAATAATTAAGGCTGAGATAGATTAGCAGGAAATTCCAGGCTTTAGACATTCAAACGTTTCACATTCTGTATGTTCTCTTGCGACAGAATCTAGTTGAAGGTTTGGTGTCTCTTGGCCAGTCTTGGGCTAGATCAACAAAATTACACACATTTTTTCGGAATAATAATAATTAAAAACAAAATGCTGTCACAAAACTGTAAACCTTAAATTTGCTCCAAAGTTAAAAAAAAATTCCGAAGTCTTCATCTACAGGACACCTCCATTCATTTTCCAAATGAAAGAAATGAACTTGGCCACTGATAAAATATTAAAAGAGTTTGAAGAAGAAGATAGTCTGACAGATGGACGAACCAAGATACCAACAATGTACCCGAACCTTCTTTAGAAAGAGTGGGTATAATAAGACAAAGAATAGTTTGCGTCGAAATAGTAATGTTCTTACAAATAAATTTTATGTTTATCAGGACATATTTCACCCCCCCCCCCCTCCCCCAAACGAAATTCTTTAAATTAAATCAATTTTAAGGGACGAAAAATGTAAATTTGGTTAATTGTCCACAAAGAAACATAAAAATAATCACTTATGCATCAGCAAACCTTTACGTGAATATTAACACAACAGTACTGAAAATTCTGGATAAAAAAACAGCATGAAACTTTTGTTTTTATAAATGGATCACCTTTAGTATTCTGAGTAAATTTTTATACACTGATTTCTGCCATTTTGCCTCTTCAAGGAGGTTTTTAGTTGTGATACACGGCGAAGTTTGAGTATATCTCGGTTTGAAGGACCTTTTTATCTTCTTTGAATAAGAATATTTATAAATAATGTAAATTGCTTTGTTTAAATATCACAAAAACTGTCAAAATAAAAAAAAATAAGGTGACGATAACGAACAGTGATCGATCTAAAAAAAATCTATAAACAAGACAATTCTGTAAAGAGGGCAAAAAAAAAAACACGGGCTTATGGAAATTCCAGAGATGGGATCAGGTGCCTATGAGGAGTAAGCATCCCCTGTTCATCATTACCATAATGCTTCACAGTAGACTCAGCAATTCGTAATATACATCTTATGTGAAATATTATTTTCAAAAATGAAGGGCGAAAAATTAATATTATATTGCAAGCTTAACTATTTATAATTTTGAAATAGATACATACTGGCAATAAGGACAGGATTCTAAGTGAAATTTTATGGCCTTAATGGATCGGTGCTGATCTAATTTCAAAATTAGAAAAAAAAGTGAATTCCCAAAGAACAACATACTATTAGTAATAGTAACTATTAAGACTGAAAAAATACAATGATTACAAATCATTTTATTTCAAACACATCGAAAATTTAGCAACAACATTTTGCATACAAACGGAATTATTGGTATATGTGTACCAACAGAAATGTTAACACTTAATGCAGTCTATATATAAATGATAATACAGATCTGTATCTGTTTATTTCATGTTTGAAAAAGGTGAAGATCACGAGCAGTAATCACTCCCATGAATCACGTTAACAATACGACCCCTAGAAAAGCCAGAGATGGAATCAGATGCCTAGGACGATTAAGCATCCCCTGTTGATCGGTCACGCCCACCGTAATATAAATCCTCTGTACTTATCAGAGCTGAGTAATCCGTAGTCAAGATTGGTATACAGTAATTACAATAGCCTAACAAGAGGCAATCAGTCATGAACAAATCGTATATAACTGCTGCCATTCTCATAATAAACAAATAGCTTATCAAATTCCTCGGCATTGGTGCATTTGATAAAATCTACATCTTCATTGTAAGCCACTTCTTTGGGTTCTCTTTCAGAATTTTATCCATGTTGGCCTGGGAAATGCCTCTGTTTAACATTTGAGGTACCACGTTGAGAAGGATGTGAGAGTAGCCATGGCCCCCATACTTCATCTGTACAAAAATAATTAATCAAATACAATTCCATGGTGTAGCTTTAAGAATTCAAAAAATAAATTACTGAAACCTGACCTCAAAGTAGATAAAAATTTAAAAAAAAAACTAGATGCCCGTATAAGACAGTAATACCTGCACTCTAAATGTACTCTCCTTTATACTAGTATGTGAGTAACAAGGAAAAAAGTCACAATAAACAGATTTATTTCGTGAATCGTCGTTTTCTGACCACTAATCGACCCCTAAGGTGAAAACCAAAATTCCGAAACCTTATTGAATTCTACGACACACCATCAATCATATTCCAAAAGACGAATTCAGACTACTGTGAAAAATGTAAGAGGAGTTTAGAGAAATAAGTTTATGTAGAAATCGTCACTTTTTCGACCGCCAATCGCCCCCCCCCCCCCCGGGTGAAAATGGAAATTTTGAAACTTCATTCCACATCTACGACACACCAACTATCATACTGCAAAAGATGAATTGGCTACTGGATAAAATATGAGGAGTTTAGGAAACAAGGTTTTTTGTAGAAAAAACGTTGTTTTTCGACCCCATGTGAAACTGAAAATTCCGAACCTTATTGCAGACCTAAAGGACATCACCAGTCATATTCCAAAATATGAATGCCATGGGCTATTGTGAAAAATGTAAGAGGAGTTCAGAAACGAGAATATTGTTAAAAACGTCTTTTGGGGGCCTTTTTTTTTGCCTCAATGTAAAAATGAAAATATGGAAATGTTGCACATGTTCAGGACACCACGAGCCATATGCCAAAGTATACATCTAAATGGGCCACTGCTTAAAATGTAAGAGGAGTTTGAGGAAGAAAATAGAATGACAAATACAATGGACGGACCAGGATAACAATATACCCAAAATTCTTAAGAAAGTGTGGGTATCAAAATGTCATTTGTTCGATCGACCCCCACCCCTCATATGGCCTCTAGGGGGAAAATAAAAATTCCAAACGTTATTGCATATTTACAGGACACCCCCAATCATCTTGCGAAAGATGAAATTGTACTGCATAAAATGAAAGAGTTTTGAAAAGCAGGATTTTGTAACATAAAATTGTGGTTTTTCGGCAACCATTTGGCCTCTAGGTTGAAAATGAAATTTTCGAAAACTTATTGCACATTTGCAGGACGATCGATAATATCTTATTAAATGGCTACTGCATAAAATGTAAAAGGAGTTCTGGGAACCAAGTTTATGAAAAACTAAAAAAAGCCGCCCCCCCATTTTGCCCCCCCCCCCCCAGGATGAACATGAAAATTCTGACCGAAACCTTATTGCGCATCTACAGGACACCAATCATCTTTCAAAAGATGGTGTGGCTATTGCGGAGAATGTAAGAGGAATTCTAGGAACCAGATTTTCGACTCCAATTTGGCCCTCAGAATCTGAAACCTTCACTTCTACAGTGTACCAACTATCATATTCAAAAAGATGAATTGGTTACTGCTTAAGCTGTAAGTTTGAGGAAGAAGAAAATGTGAGACACGGGCGGACGGACCCATTCTCACGTCAGGAGTAATGAGTCAACACGTTGCCGTTGGACCTCTGACAAATTCCATTCGTTTTATTTATCTTGCCTCTCTAATTGAGAAGCACCAATGAAATTGAAGTAGACAGATAATGTAAACAGAAAGGAATCAGTTGACACATATGCATTGTTTATCACCGAAAGGCTTAATGTGATTGGTTGAAAGATAAGAAAAACAATCAAAATTTGTAAATTTCCTGAAAGACTCGCTTCAGTCAGCCCGCAAGATATCGAATGAAATTTGTCAGGGGTCCAACGGCAACGTGTTGACTCGGGACCCCTGACATTTTGATGATGGGAGGGACCAAGATAGCAACAATATGCCCTAATTTTCTTTTCTAGAAAGGTATTACAATTATATCTATATTATTTAACACAGTTAATAGTTTCTAAACACAAAGAACTTCATTTGAAGAACAAGTCTTTTTATACCCCCGCTTGAAAAATGGGGGGGGGGGGAGGTTATATAGTGATGGGGATGTCCGTCCGTACGACCTTTCGTCCGTTTCACTTTGGGGTAGTAATCCCTTAGCCGCAACTCCTCTTACACCATTGAATGCAGTTTAATGAAACTTTCACGAAATCTTTATTACACAGTGGCATTGTGTATCTTTTATTTTACGTTTCGATCAGACAAATATTTTGGGTTTCCCTAAGCAGAACATGGACTTCGCCACTCTTTATTCAAAATCTTGGGTACCCATTTCTCATCTGTAACTTTTCCTAGTATACCACTGCATAAAATTTAATAAGATTTTAGAGAATATTTATTATACTCGCACTTTTTAAAGAAAGTTCTGGTATATTATTGCCACCCTGGTCTGTCTGTACGTCCGTCACACTTTCTTCTTCCTCAAAACTCCTCTTTTATTTTAAGCTGTGAACAATTAATCTTTTTGAATAAGATAGGTTGTTTCCTGTATATGTGCATTACGGTTTTGGAATTTTCACCTTACCCTGGGGTCAAAAACGATGTTTTCCCCCTAAACCCCCTCTTCTGGTTTCCAGAACTCCTCTAACAATTTACGCAATCATCATCTTTTGAAATATAATTGCTGTTTTCCTGTAGATGTGCAATAAAATTTCGGAATTTTCATTTTCACCATGGGAGTCATATGAGGTCGAAAATGACATTTTTCTACAAAAGCCTGGTTCCCAGCACTCATATTACATTTTACGCAGTATCCTAATCATCTTTTAAAAATGATTTCTGGTGTCCTGTAGATGTGCAATAAGATTCCAAAATTTTCATTTTCAATCTTGGGGCCACAGAGAGGTCGAAAAATGACGTTTTTTTCTACAAAAAAAAAACACCCTGGTTCCCAGAACTCCTCTTAATTTTTACGCAGTAGCTAAATTATCTTTTGAAGGGTTATTGGTCTTGTCCTGTAGATGTGCAATAACGTTTCGTAATTTTCTTTTTACCCTGGGGACAAATTGGGGTTGAAAATGATGCACAAAATACTGTTGCTCAATGCAATGTGTCATGTAAGAATATATTTACTTTAAGGGTTGGAATCCAACCATTCTTATACCCGCACTTTCTAAGAAAGTTTGGGTATATTGTTGTTATCCTGGTCTGTTTGTCTGTCACACTTTTTTCTTCCCCAAACTCCTCTTACAATAGTAGTAACCAATTCATCTTTTGGAATTGGAATATTATACTTAGTGTCCTGTAAATATGCAATAAGATTTCGGAATTTTCATTTTCACCTAGGGGTAAGAAAAACGACGTTTTTTAGGAAACCATTCCCATGATTCCTCATACATTTTACCCAGCAGCCAAATTTTCTTTTGGAAGATAATTGGTGGTGTCCTGTAAAAAATTTCCGAGGAGGGGGTACTCGTAATTGAGAAAAATATGGCAGGAAACGAAATATATACACTTATAAGTTTGAATACACGTAATTCATTTTAGAAAAAAAATGTCATTTCAATGTCTAAAATTTTAATTTCATAAAATTGTCATGCATTGAAAAAAAATTCATTTTCTGGTTGGACAAAAAATTCATCAAGTTCCAATATTGGGCCGATTTCTTCTTCTTTTTTGTATACAGAAAAGCATTCTTTCCGAAACTCCTTTTTTTAAAATCAAAATTTATAAGCTTAATTTGATACATATGTACATATTTCATGTAAATTAAAGAATAACTATTGTGGCTTCTTGGCTACCCAAGTACAAAGGAGCTAGCTTACATTTAGAGGCAAACACTTACGTGTGGGTATTATACTGTCTAATGACAGAATCTAGTTACATAGTGCCATTTTGACTTCCTACTTTATGTTTGGTCGGGCATATATTTGGGGTTTCCCAAATTGCCATTATTATTGATAAAGGGGGTACCCATTTTGATAATGCAAGTCCTCCTAAACCCCAACCCAGACTAGAGGTTCTGTGAGCAATGAGCTCACAAAATGACATTCAACTCCCATATGAGTATACATGTAATGACAAAGTGTATTTCTTGGCAGTATCTAAATCGTAAATTCTGTTAAAGTTCCATTGAATTTCATACAGGGGTTTAGGAAGAGCTGCATTACCAAAATGGGTACCCCATTTATCAAGTATAATGGCTAGGTCATTTTTTTGCTACGGGAAACAATAAATATCTGTCCAACCAAAACGTAAAATAGGAGGTTTACAATAATACTATTTATTTAATAAAGATTCTGAAAGTCTCATTATATTTAATTCGGTGGTATAGGAGGAGTTGCGGATAAAAGATGGGTACCCTAATACATGTACTACAGACATTATGGTTATAATGCAATTGAAGCAAATTAAATTGTTATTTATGGAAGAGTTGGTAGATCTTTTAAAGAATACTAGTACATGTTGGACCTGTTTGGTTAGACATTTTATAGTTTTCAAATCTGCTAGAATACAAATCTTACCAGTCTGTGTTTGGTATGTACGTCGTGAGCAATAACTATTTTGTCCTCAAATCCTTGATCTATCAGGAACTGGATGTTCTGAATTCTCTGAGCATCACTTGGCATGTCCACATTCAAATTGCAGGAATATATGGAAGTCTCAATGCCAAACATATCATACTCACAGTAACTCCCTAGTGCTGCAAATTCTGCCAACTCACTTTTGTCGAAAATGGTTCCTAAAATAAAATGGTATCTCATAATTGTAAGAAAGAATGGTTTGACTTAACTTTGGATTCTGTAAGAGAAAAAAAATCAGCTTCTGAAATTGAGGTTTGAATAATAACAATGCCAAGTTCAATGAAAAAACATTGATGTTATTTAATAACATGTATCTAGGCTGCCATACCAAACTATCCAAGCTGCCCCATAACAGAGTACTAACTACTTGTGGCTGCCCTATTACTATTATCCAGGCTGCCCTATTTCTTAATAAAAACTAGGCTGTCCTTTAACTGAGTACTATCTAAGCTACATTGCCCTGTACTAATTACTCTACCCTGTCAAATAATTGATTACTACCGGTAATTATTTAGGCTATCTAGGCTGCCCAATTACTGAGTATTTACTACTTGTATATAGACTGCCCTATCTCTATGCACTAAATATCTATGGTATCCGTCACTGCATAATAACTAACTGAGCTTTCTTATTACCGAGTACTAACTAATCCATGCAGTCTGTAACAGAGTACTGACTATCCAGGCCACCTGACCACTAAGTTCTAAAAATTTATTGTATCCTACCACTTAATATTAAATATCCACCCTGGTCTATCACTGAAAACAATATAGGTTACCCTATTCTTATCTACTAACTATCAAGGCTATTCTGTTAAAAATAGGCTATTCTGTTGCAGGGTACAAATTATCTAGGCTATTATTTTACAGAGTACTAAACATCTAGACTATTCTGTTACGGAGCACTAACTTTTTAGGCTATTCTGTTACAGAGTACTATCTAGGCTATTCTGTTACAGAGCACAGTAAAACATGCTTATAGCAAACACACATAATGAATTGACGCTTACAGCAAAGTGATTTTCACTCCCTGTGGCTTTAAATATATTGTGAACTTAACGGATGTAAGGATTTACATTTAAAACAGAGTGAAATCGTCCGTTCCTGGTATTACGTTATGAACATGTTTTACTGTACTAACTATCTAGGTTATTATGTTACAGAGTACTTACTATCTAGGTAGTTATATTACAGAGTACTAACTATCTAGGTCATTATATTACAGAGTACTAACTACCTATACTATTATGTTACAGAGTACTAAATATCTATGTTATTATATTACAGAGTAGTAACTATGGCTATTATATTACAGAGTACTAAATATCTATGTTATTATATCACAGAGTACTAACTATCTAGGCTATTATATTACAGAGTACCAACTATCTAGGTCATTATATTACAGAGTACTAACTACCTATACTATTATGTTACAGAGTACTAAATATCTATGTTATTATATCATAGAGTACTAACTATCTAGGCTATTATATTACAGAGTAGTAACTATCTAGGCTATTATATTGCTGTGTACTAACTAATCAGATTATTATATTACAGAGTACTTACTATCTAGACTATTATATTGCAGAGTACTTACTATCTAGGCTATTATATTACAGAGTTCTAACTATCTAGGCTATTATATTATAGAGTACTAACTATCTAGGCTATTATATTACAGAGTACTTACTATCTAGATGAGACATGACCAGTTTGTTGACATCTCCTCCAGCCTCTTGGTAAACTCGGATAATTTCAAATGGAGCCTTTGAATCCCTTCCTGGATGAATATTGACTGGACATCCTAACTCACTCTGAACATTCGCAGCTGCCTGTATGGATATCCTTTCACTCTCTGAAGAATAAAACCAAGATGTGTTTTTAAAACTCCTATGTCACAATATTGCAGTTTGTGACCAAGGATAAAGGTTTTTGTTCTTCAAAAAGTAGGTCTAACTACAAGTTCAAGGTTAAGAGGACAAATATCTTGGTGCCTAAAGGAAGGTTTTGTCACAAGGAGTATACAAGTGAAATATGAAAGTCCTGGCACCATCTTTTAAAAGTCATGGCCAAGGTTAAAGTTTGGTAAAATTTTGCAAAGTAGGTCAAACTCCAAGGTCAAAAGGACAAATATATTGGTACCCAAAGAAAGTTTTTGTCACATGTGAAATATGAAAGCCCTAGTGCCAACAGTTCAAACTTGTGGCCAAGGTTAAAGTTTGGTAAAATTTTGCAAAGTAGGTCAAACTCTAACGTCAAAAGGACAAATATATTGGTACCAAGACAAAAGTATTGTAACAAGGAATATGCTTGTGAAAAATGAAAGATCTAGCATCAACTGTTTAAAAGTTATGGGCAAGGTTAAAGTTTTTTATGAAAAAGCATACAGATAGACGGACGACCTAAAACTATATACCCCTGAAACTTGGATTAAAGGGGCATAAGAACTGTCAGTAAAAAGCTTAGATTTTCAACCAGTCTCTCCAATTCAATTGTTTTCCTTAAGTTCTTTGCCTACAACTGGCTACGATTTTCATTTCTTCGGCAGAGGATGCTCATTCCTCCATGGCACCTGATTCCACCTCTGATGTTTGGAGGTCCGTGTTTGCTCTGCTCCAAAATTTGTATTGTTTAATGGACTTTTGAGCTTGAATACTGTTCGTTATCTCCATATATTTCATTTATTTCTTCGGAATAACCTATCATATTCATTTTTCAAAGATAATATTATTCTTCCATGAAAATTTTGTTTTAAAAAGGATAATGGAAATGCAGTTAACACATAACACACAACATTATATGCGTTGTTAACACACAACACACTAGTATTCTAACTTCACAACATTCTACTTCAGATGGAAGATAACGAGGAATAAACTCTTTTTGTACAACTTACTGCCAAGTGGCCAGCTACATCCGATTTCTCCGATGATCCCACATTTGATATCCCCACCATCTGCTCCGTGAAGAAGATCTGTCTTCATAGCTTCATCCATCTCTTCTGACGTCATCTTTAATGTTTCAGGTCGTGATGACTCCACATAAAAACCTGATAAAAATTCGTTTAGAGATTGTCCATATGACTTGGTTTCTTTTAAATATGGTGAAATAGTTTCAATTGAGTAAAATTTATGAAGGTTTCCATAACTAAACTCTGGGAAGACAACCTATTGGAAATTTTATGATAGTTGCCTCTCTTATCAGAGTGTGGGCCCCCTTAATTCAAAGATGATTATATTGCGATCTTTGATCATGTTTGTCACCGACAATAAAGGTAGAGACGTTAGGAAAATCTTAGAATTATTATTATTAAATCAGGAATTCCCTTAATACAGTGGATAGGAAACTTAAGGCAGATTTGACTGTATTCTAAACTGGTCAGAATATTACTCAGTACCTGTTCCTGCAACTACATTCACCCCCGTTTCCTTTGCAATATTCTTATAAAATTTAATATCTCGTTGGATTCCAAATGTGGTGTTTTCAACAACAGTGCCTCCTCCATTCTTCTACAAAATAAAAACATTCGACATGTACAAGGATCAAAACTCCGTAAACATTGATCTTGTAAGACAATAACGTGTATGTATAAAGCTGTCGCTTGCATTTGCAAATAAAACTTTAAGTGTTTTATGAAACCATGTAAGCATACATTGTAATTTATGCTTTGAAATATAATTAAGAGTTATCTATAATTATCAAACCTTGTAAAAATCCATTTCCTCAACAACAGCAGCATTTTCTGTTTGTAAACTCAAGTTTTGCAAGTTTGAGTACCTAAATTTAATAGAAAATTAACATAAATTAGCGATAGTTGTTTTTAAAAATCCAGATAAATTTGACAAAATGTTTTTTTTTCCCAAGTAGTACGTCTCGTAGGTTAAATATTGAGGCGCTGGCGATTCTGTTCACTCTCTTCAAGCCTACACTATTTAGAAAAACACTTTATTACATTTTCAACAGTGAAATACTGTGATTTATTAATTGAATAAAAGTGATATTCTCTCACAGTGTGAATGGATACCAAAAGTGATATTCTCTCACAGTGTGAAAGGATATCAAAGTAAGTAAAAAATTATTTCTGGCCTGTCATAAGATAGAGATAGTGACTAAGCATCTTGATAGAGTTGAAACTACAAATTTCTTCCAAAATATGTTGCTAAAATCCATGCTATGTAATGTTTTCAATCACACAACTTCTAAGCTATGACGTTTCAACCGCTCAACTATGACGTCAAGCCTATGACACTGTGTTATGAAAAGACAGAGGCAAAGGGAAAATCAAAGAAAATGTAATAAACAGAAAATTCAATGTTTTGTAGATGAATATGGAATTTATTTCACTCGTGAGACAGGATTTTTTGATATTTTCACTCGTGCTTCGCACTCGTGAAAATATCAAAAAATCCTGTCCCACGAGTGAAATAAATTCCATATTCATCTACAAAACATTGAATATCCTCTATATAACCCATATTTTCTGCTGTTTGAAATTTTTCCTATTTGACCCCTGAAAGGTAGCAAATTACTTTCTGTGTTTTTAATTTCTGCGGTTGCAGTATACCGCAAAAAATAATTTACGGGAAAGGACTACCAGACATTTAGAATTTCGCAGAACAATGCATTGATTTACGTATTTTTAGATTCAAGGCATATTGACCTTGTTCATGGCGCATTAGAACTGAATCTTTTAGTTAGTGTCGTTAATGTTATTCTTATCACTTTTATTTCATATCTCAGTTAAAGCGTTACTTTTTTTTTTTAATAATGTACAGTAAGCTCTAAGAAGTTTTGAAATAACATTAAATGATACGCCACTTATCGAGATGATACAGTTAGAGAATATCTGAATTTTAGGGATGTCAACGAATATTCGAACATTCGAATATTCATTCGATGAATTGATATTCGAATATAAATCTAAGATTCGAATATTCGGTGTTTTTCAGATTTCATAAAAAGAAGTACTGTGATTTAAATTTTTTTATTAGAACAGTGCTGGAATTCTTCCTGTTTAATTTATTAGCGATCAATGTCGATCTATACTTTCTTATCTTATATAGATCTACTAAATTATTTTGTTTTGAATAAGGTGTTAAATTATACAATAATCTTTATGTATTATACAAAAGGTACTTTCATAGTTTTTATTAGTTAAATACGATCGGATCTAGAATCGAGGACAACAAGATTAAAACCTTCTTAGAATGTGTAAAAGACGTGAAGAGTTATACTTATCAAAACAAATTTAATTGATCATTGAATGAATGTCCGATAGAATTAGTCTGTAATTAATATTTTAAAGGGCTAAATGTCAGTATAAATGTGTAAATTACTTGATTATCTGGGGTTGTACATAAACCTGAATTTTATATTTATCATCGGGAAATAAGTTAATTACGTAGGAAAATTGTCTATGGAAATCTTTGTTTATATTTTAAAAACATTGTATCAAAGATAATAATCATATCTTTTATTAGGCTGATAATTGCAATTAATTACACGTATTGAAATCTAAACAGTATACGACTATTTTGCCTTTGGTAGGACGACTGGTTTCTCAGTTGGAACTACTATAAATACACACGTATCATTTGCTAAAATTATACTTTTTCTACATTTAAATCAATTATTTATTTAAAACATTGACAAATATCAAATGGAAGCCCTTATTGTACAACTACAAAAGTCTTCATACATTTTTACAACTACTTAAGTCTTTATACATTTTTACTTCCAATATAAGATTACCTACTATGAACTATGAAACCAGAATTTATATATTTTATCGAATATTCGAATATATTCGAATACTTTCATCGAATATTCGAATATGAAAAATGGACAAAATTGACATCCCTACTGAATTTATATTTAAAGAATATTTTGCGATTGTATAATTTCTGCGGATTTGTCCTATCCACAAAATGGACAATTATTTCAATAATCAAAAGACCTTTAAATCATAAGGCTAAAATCATAATATAGTGATTAAGCTTCTTTTGTCCACGTTTCGTTGCATGTTTTAAATGCAGGAAGATGGTAAAACTATTTGTAAATATTTAACAGACCCGTAGAAAGCGGGGAGGGGGAGTTTTTTTTCGGGAAGTTGCCCCCCCTACTTAGGTCATAATGAAATCAAACTTAATTGAAAATGTTAATCTTCCTCCTCACAACGTCAGGGATACGAGTGCACTCGTGGCCGCCCGGACTCACGACCCCTGACGTTGTGGGGCTGGCTGATCATAGAACCTCTCAGTTAAAGGCAATTTAACCTTGAAAAGAACAAAGTTCTGAAGAAGAGGCCAAAGATTTCAAATTAATATAAAGACTGATATAACGGTTTTTGTTCAAAAAAAAGAATTAAAAAAAAAGAAAAAGAAAGATAGAAATGGAACTTAAATTTGACTCAGGTCATTTGAAATAAGATTTAATGCCCTAGGTTTTTTTATATAGATAATGCTTAGGTGATATGTTAAACTAAAATACGGAATACTTACGGATACTGTCGGATATACCACAATGTATCCAGAGCCACGGGTGCCTCTTCAAGATACTTAAATTTGGGGTTAATTGGCAGTTGCAGTGGCAAAAAATTTATAGATAAATGTTCATGGGTCAAAGTAATTCCTAGAGTGTCCGGATCTACTGGACCAAGCACTGTTGGATAAATAAGTTGACAACTTCAATAAAAAATGTAATACTATACGGCGATCACCCTTCCTTGATTTTTACAACAGAATAACGTCATGATAAATTATATCTCTTATTCTCTACTACATGTAAGTTCAAATTGTACGGTTTTATGAAATATATTTCAATGATAACAACACCCCACAATACAATCTAATTCAACGATAGCTGCAGATCTGTAGCTTGCTGGTCTGAAAAAAAAATTGGGATGGACGACCAGAGAGCTACAGTGCCACCCATAGGAAAAAGTGTATGTTACGCACAAAAAATTGCTTTTGTACTTTTGAAAAAGAAATTAAAATTGGTCATAACTTTTGAATGCTTGGTGCTAAGGCTTTCATACATCAAATGTGTATTCCTTGTGACAAGACCTTCCCTTGGGTATGAATATTTTTTTTTACCTTGACATTTGAGTTTGACCTACTTTTGAAATCATTTATCCTTGGCCAAAAGTTTTGAATGGGTAGAGCTAGGTCTTTCATATTTCGCATGTTTATTCATATGTGACAAGACCTTTATTTGAGTACCAACAATTTAGACCTTGACGTTTGACCTGTTTTGAAAACTTTTAACCTTGACCATAACTTTTGAACGGTTGGTGATATGGCTGTCATGTATCACAGGTGCATTCTTTGTGACAAGGCCTTTTCTTAAGAACCAGTATTTTTTTTTTATTTCATAACATTAACCTTGGAGTATTGCCTGTTTTTGAAAAACTTTAATCTGAATGGTTGCTGCAAGGGTTTTCATATTTCTCAAGTGTATTCCTTGTGACGAGACCTTTCTTTGAGTATACCAACATTTTTGTTCCCTTGACTTTGACCTTGAGAGTTTGACTTGCATTTGAGAAACTTTAACCTTTGCCCTTAGGTGCCATACGGGGCACCAGTGTTTCACCAACACAACTTGTTCTTCCTGGCCTTTAATAGGTATTGCGCCTTTGATATTTGTTAAAAAAATTGATAGAGCAAATTTCTTCATCAGACGGGAAGAAGGTATATATTTAGATTAGTCGTATTATCAAATTGATCAGTGTTACTAGTAGTAGGCCTATCTTTTCAAACATAAAATAAAACAAAATAAAAATGCAATCAGCAAGGAAAAATTGATTCAATTTTTTATTCCTTCGTTACTCATAGTCACATTAAATCTTAGATGTAACAACCCCCTCCCCCCACATACACACATACAAAAGCGGGTAGTAAACATCAAGAGCTGAAACAAACAACATGTTGACACGACACATGCTGAAAAGACAATAGTTCAGCCACATTGTAAATAGTGAATGCTCGTTATTTTACCAGTCTGTACTTTTTCTGTCATTTCTATAAAAAATTCTGAAAAAAAGAGAAAAAAATATTTGAAAGACAAAGTAGAACATCAACTGGAAAATATAATCTATACACATCCTTTTGTTCAAAATTTTGCATGAAATGTCAGTTTTAGAAGAATTTGTCATCAATAGTTACGATAGCAAAAGGTACGTATTCATTACTTTCAGATTTGAACTTGTCTTCAACCAAGTCTGTGGTGGAACAGTAATTGGTGGATAAAAAAAATCATAACATGTACATGTGTAACTGCTTACATCGTGACCTAATTACATGCATATATGTTATTAGTAAATAAGCCTCTGACCATCAGCAGATATACACGGAAACCAACTTCTATTTATAAATGATGTACTTGCCTTTTACAGCTGGTGACAAATCCAAATATATCTATCTAATATTACGTCTGTTCAGATGAAAACAACACCCTCCACGCTAATTATATGCATGCCTCACTTTCGGCAAAGCAGAAAGAAAAATAGTATATTCTATTCTTTATTTTTAACTACATATGATGTATGGGGGTTTTATTAGACATGTATGCAAGACGGGAATTCTTAGTTACAAGAACTCTAGGCCACGAAAAAGTTGGTTCCATTAGAAATACATATGCGACTATGAAATAACTAAAAGCTCAAATTTCCTATAGGTAATTATGAAAAACATTTATTGAATTCCACACATTGTGTGGCAACAGTCGAAAAGGACAATGTGCTGAAACAAGTCAAAAAAATCGTGCGAAGGGCATTTTCATGGAATTGCGGAAGGTGTGAATGGTCATTTTAGCGGGAAATTTATATGACATTTTAGCGGAAGAAAAATCAGTTAGCTGCAAACATTCAGTGGACATTTTATCTGAATTTTTTTCAAAGGTAAATTTAGTTATCTTTAATGTCAGTAAATAATTACTACTGCTAATTCATTATATATACATGTTCTACTTTCTTAACTCTAATGGTACAGGTAAAAACTATCCACTCGAATCAAATTCAACTCGTGCTCGTACAAGTAAGAAATAATCATCATTTGTAATTAGAAAACTGAAGTGTATGAAAGTGGCAGAGGGTATAGAATACAAATACAGAGCCAATATTGAGATGTAAATTGTCTAAATATTTCGTGTTGATATTTTAGAAGTGCTGGTGCTTAAGTAATTTATTGTATTTTAATGAAAATTATCCTGTTCTAAATCCTTCTTTCTCCTCCTCGTTGGTGACCAAGGCAGGCACTTAGCATCGCGGGGGGGGGGGGGGCTGCCCCTCCCCCCGCCCACTTTTTTTCCCAAACATTACATTTACTATTGAAAATGTTCGTTGACAGGGCGGTTTTTAGACTATTTCTTTTTTTTTAGTTGTCAAGTTTTTTAAGGTAAGTTGAATTTTTTTCTCTGCCCCCCCCCCTTTCAAAAACGATGCTACGTCCCTGCCAGGGTGCAAGAGACAGTCTAACTAATAGAAGATGTATAAATACACTTCATTTTACTATCTGCTAAAATGTCCACATTCTCTATTTTAATTTCAGCTATAATGTCCCATAAATCTTTCGCTATAACGTCCACAAACTTTCCGCCAAAACTTCCAATTTGTCCTGCTAAAACGTCCCGTCAATTCGCTAAAATGTTCAACGCCGAAAAAATCAACTGGAAAAGGTCGTCGTTTACCACGGGATGTAAGAGTGACATTTCTGTTAATTCTGCTCTAGACTACTCAGTCGCTCCAGGGTGAAGCGTCGACTTGAAGTTCTAACACTGTTTCTGTGGGTGGAAGTAGCCAAATGGTTTGTGGAGACATTGATCACTGTACAAGGATTTTCTTGGTGACCATGCCAGACGGGATTCAATACAGGGACCAAGTGTATCGCCCTTCATCCAAAACAGTGGACAAAAAACAACGTTGCAACAAAAAAAACTGAAGATCCCATGTTGTATGTTGTTTTTAACTTCCTTAATCATGATAATTTGACAATGCTCAGTATGAGAATGTAATTACCTTTAGGTCAATGCCTTATGGAAATAAAATTTAAAGTTTGGATTAATTTCTACGATGGATTTTAGAATTATTTTCATAACTATTTCTTTTTCAAGTGACCACAATTTCATAAAACAGAACTTATTAGAGTTTGAATCTATTCCAATGAATAATATATGGTGGAATTATTGCCCGCAAAAATTAATTTAAACCTGGCATATTTTTTGTTAGAGGGATTAAAATCACAACAATTCTTTTTAAAAAAGCAACAATTCCATTAACAGATTAAAGAAATAATTATGTAAATTTTAGTTGCTCCCTCTAAATATGATTAAAGAATTGTTGCGTGCGTTAATTGAATTAATTATTTCGCATATTAGTTGAATTATTGTGTGCATCAATTCAATTGTTGATATCATTATTTGATTTAATGAAGAGAGCAGCAATTCAGTTGTTGCACAGTTCAATACGTGAACTGAATGCGCACAATAATTCAGAATTGAATATATCGTGAATTATTTGAACACAGGTACTCGTGGACATGATTGTCCCTACCCCCACCTCCCGCGCCCCTTTCATTAAAAAAAAAATCTGAATTATTTTATTTAATTTTCTACAGGATCACAGGTACTTGAGTCTTGGTTTACAAATATGTATCATTATATACTAATTAACATGATTAATAAACCAAGACCCAAGTACTTGTGATCAGGATATATAATATCTGTAAATACGCACGTACTGACTACTAGGAACGACTACTCCGGGTAGTTCTCGGAACTCCTTTGATGTTATGAGAAAAAGAAAGTACAAACTCCATTCGGAGCTGTCAATTTAGCGCTGACTACCCACAAGATGTAGGTAGGTAGCAGGGTAGTATAACTTACATGTATTCATGTATATCACAAACTTTCAGTAGGTCTCTGAAATAATTTGTACAAGTTTCATACAGTAAAACTTTAATAGATTCCTCAATATTCATTGTTGTCACTTGTAATGCCTGTGACATAGAAGTATCAGGGTTCGACACTAACTTTTTTACCTTGGTGGACCGCAGGTCTACTAGTCAAAAAATGTTGGTGGACCTTCTGAAATTCTGGTGGACCTTTATAAATGTTTGAATTTATGAATGAATTCATTACACAAGGCTTGAAACCAACTTATGTACCCAGTCTCGTCAGATTAACAAAGTATAAGTTTAACCAGTCAACAGAAACAAATCAATTAGTCAGGAGTTTTAAGCAATATTGTGAAACATATTTTCAATATTTAAAAAAAAAAAGAACACAATCTACATCTTCAAACAATTTGTTATTTTAATATCATTTTTTTACAATGGTAAAAACCTGCATTTATTTAGCTTCCAATGGTAGATACAATTTATAATCCCAATAATTGAGTTGTTCATATAAACAAATGAATTTTTCATGTATCTATGGCTAGAATACATTTTACTACGATGCAATACTGACAAAAGTATATTTATTTATTTATTTATTTTAATTATTATTTAATCAAATAAACTGCGATCATATGATTCTTTTATGTGATATAATGTAATAGCAGAAAAAAACAGGAACTGCATGAAATATAAATCACACCTGTTTGAGGACAATGCATAAATGCAGCTGTCAATCAATTCTCATTATCTCCAAACCTGGCCATCAGAGTGCGTTCAGGCGTGAAGTGATTTCCTGTTACCCAGTGTATATTTTCACACCTTTCTGTGCATTAAACAAACAAAGGACAGACTGACCAATTTGGCTCGAATTTTACATGCTTCTTTTTCAAGGTCCGTGTTGAATGTTCTTGCAGTCAATGTTATTGATACTGTAGTCATCAATATTACATGTAAAATATATATTTAGTCGCTAGGTTCCCCTGATTACCTAAAATAAATTATACCCTATTTATTTCTTGTAAAATATAAGTATGGATGAATTAATCGTTGATTTACGGATGTCGATTTATAGAAAAAGTGGAATTACCATTTTTTTAATATGGTGTTTAATTTTTAAGTGGACCAATGGTCTACCTAGTCCAGAACATTTGGTGGACCTTCCAATTTTTTGGTGGACTCGGGCCGCCGGTCCACCGTTAGTGTCGAACCCTGAGTATTCTTCATTTCTTAATTGTTGAGTGTCATGTTTTCAAATTTTATCAATAAGAAAGTTTCTGGGAGAGGGCTTTCAATCAGGGACCTATATACTACTAGTATATAGGTCCCTGCTTTCAATCAAAGTACTTTAGACATAGAAATGAAACATTCAGGTTGAAGCTCCATTTAAATATGAGAAAAGGACGAACATCAATAATCAGTGATAATCTCAGCGAGATTTGTTGAGACTAAAAAATTTTGTACTAACGTCTCTTCGGAGGAGACACATCAGTAGTACATTAAATCCATGAACTTTAAAGTATAATCTTGGTAATTAAATTTTAAATGTGGAGTACTTGACTTGGTGGTCACGTAGGCGTTCAGACACTAACCCAGAGGTTGCTGGTAAATTCAAGCCCCGCTGTGGGCACTTGATGTTGTGTCCTGGACAAGGCACTTTATCTGCATTGTCTCAGTCCACCCAGCTGAAATGGGTACCCACTTATGATAGAAATGATCCTGAGTTGTACTGGTGTCCCATCCAGGGGGATTCGATGACTCCCATCCACTTAGCACCACAGAAACTGGGTATAAGCTCTGGCCTATTAAGCCTCATGGCTCGGAGAAGGATTGAACTTTTTAAAATAAATTTTTAATTTCAAAAGCAAAAAGGCCTCAGCTTACTTAACGGCGGGCTTCAAATGTAAAAAATATTGAATTTGAATTAATTAATGGTGTTGCCAATGGTAATTGATATAAAAGTAAATTTGTTTGTTTCTTTTTTTTCTTTTTTGTCAAAACACTTGTAGAGGGAAAGTACAGAATATGGCTCCAATAAAACAATGCAAGATAAATGACTATAGTGATTAGTGAACACGCTTAGAGTGAATTCACATTTACAGCGAAGTGATTTTCATTCCCCATGGTTTTAAAACATATTGTGAACTAAATGGTTATAACCGACTACATTTATAACAAATCAAAATTCTTCGTCCCTGGCACTTCGCTATAAGCATGTCTTACCATATAGGTAATAGTAGGAAGGCAACATATTGCATTAATACTCATTTTAGTCATGACATTTTCCTGAAACAATAAAAATCTACTGAAAAATTGCACAAGGGGAATTAAGATATACATGTTCATCAGAAAGTTTTGTCAATAAGAGTAACTTTAAAATTTCATAAACCAATGCACTTGATGATACTGCAATATTTTTCCTTCTATTGATGTATTCCACTACTTTTCATTTCCATGATACACAGGTGTTAAAGGAATGGGACAGACCAAAATTTTTATCAGAGACTATATGAAATTGTTTTGCCAAGCTCAACAGATCTAAATATTGTAAGAAACTTTAATATATGAAGCAGGTGTGGATCCAGGAATTGAAGTTGGGGGGGGGGGGGGGGGCAAAAAGTAGGCAGGGGTTCTGGGAGCCGCCTTGAGGCCCCTAGTGCCAGGGTCCAGGGCCAAGCCCTGGTGGGGGCCCAGGGGGCAAATGAGGTCTACTGAGCAGACATTTTTACATTTTCTCAACAAAACTGTGATTTACGCTAACTTTGACAATTTTAGGGGGGGGGGGGGACATCGGGTGTGGCCCCCCCCTTAAATCTGCCACTGTGAAGTACACTGCTAAATGAGAGTTGTATGTAGTTTGATTTTCTCCTAATTTGATGTTTTTAATGCATTAATTGTCTTATTAAGCACCCACTGGTTTATTTTTTTCCTCATAATTGTTATAATTCTTGTAAATGTTGAATTGAGTGTATATGCTCAAACTTTGGTTCTTTCCATAATATATAGGAATGGAACTCCATCCACAATTTGGAACTTTGCTTGGAATTGATACTAATCATGAGCAGAAGTATGTCATGCACACGCTTCATATACTAGTATTCTGTAGTCTTAATTTCTGTTCATTTAAAGCCTAGTACAAAAGATTATTTTTAAATTTATGTGTATAATATTCAGGTACTTGGATTATTACTAAATGTTTGCTATGACGTGAAAGAGGCGGATGATTTGGTGTAAATATAAACACCATAAAGGAAGGGGAAACAAAACCATGTACATACTCACAGCTGTTTATCGTGTTTATTGTGTTCAGTATTGCAGGCATTGATTTTGATGGACAAACAGAGAATAGACTCAATAATATTAATGATTACTCGATGGTATCCCCATTTAAACTTGTTGCTTTAATTTACTGCATGCAATTTATGTAGTCTTATTATGACATATCAAATATTCCTTTATTTTTTTGGTGTAAACAAAGAAAACAAAAATTAATTTTAGCTAGTCCAAATTTACATGCTTCATTAGTTCCTACAACTACCAGAAAAGTAAAGTACATTGACCTAAAGAATAGACACGACCTTTATGACCTTACATTAATACGGAAGTAATGGTTAAAAATAGTTTCCTCTCATTGGTTGAAGACACATAAGCTTTGAACTATAAAGTTAAAAGTAAACATTTTACCTGATTTTATTAGAAATTGATTTTGTACTGATTGATTCAATCTTAAGCTAACTTGAAGTTACACTGTATGAAAACAAGCATACAATATGAAATTAATACAAAAGGAACTAGAAACCCTCACAAGATAACTGTCTCTGCCACTGTTATTCTTGCCTAAATTCTAAAGTGGCGGTGGTGTGTGAAATCTGTTTTTTAGGAGTCTGCTTGATATTCTTGTGGAATAGGTTTCTGCCCTTGCATTCGTTTGTGGAATCAATAGAGAGATTAATTTGAAAAAAGCTTGAAGGTTTGTACTTTTTAGTGAGTGATTGTTTCCTTGAGTTGGGAAAATGCAATAAATTTAGCCGCATGGCCACTGTTAAGTCAACACTTTCTACTGTATCTAACTCAGACATGTCTAAGTGTATGTTTGAATGTAAAGCGCTGCATAGATATTCACAATAGATGTATCTTGAGGCAAGCCAAACTTATTGTTATATGGCAGGATTCATTCAGATCTGGAATGTCATTATTTGTGAAATAATATTGAATTTTCCAGTTATATTTATACATGTTTACAATGGCAGTGAAACCAATTTCATTTGGCCTTGCTAATGGAGAGTCAGGACTTGCTATAATGTTGTTGATACATCGGTCATGTCAGTAAAACTCTTTTGCAGGATGAAGAAGAAATGTGTGTAATGAAACGTTGCAGAGATTGTCATGGCAGCCCATCTGCTGGAGGAAGAAGGTGAGCTCATAAATTAAAATTTTTTAAATTGGTTTGCAGAAAAGCCGTGAGTTTTATTAAACAGGGGGATCTATACCTTACATTGTATATATATTTGTATAAAGAGAGGAATGAAACAGAGATCTGTAAGAAGATTTAGTGAATACATGTACTTTAAAGAAAGTTGATTTCTTGTTTTGTCTTTATCCTCATGGTATAATTTTCATCAATTTGACTTGTGAATTTCTTTCTTTTTTCTAGAAAGGGGGGGGGTATATAAAACATTTTTAGGGCACCTGCTCTCTGTGTTTGTCTGTGTCAAAGTGTTAAGCATTGTATGGGTGTGTGTTGTGCATTATGTGTAAACTTTTCACATTTTCAACTTCTTTTCAAGAACCACTGTACTCATTTCAGTCAAACTTGCCACAAAGAATTTATGGGTAAAAGGGATTCAAGTTTGTTCAAATGAAGGGCAGTACATGTACCCATTTCCGGGATGAGATAATCAAGAAAAGGCAAAAATAGGGTGGCATCACTTAAAAATCTTCTTCTTGATAACCTCTTGCCAGAAAACAATGTAGTTGAAACTTACATAAAAGCTTCTTTATGTAGTGTAGATTCAAATTTGTTAAAATCATGGCCCCTGGGATAGAGTGAGTCCAATGAAGAGGATCAAAATTTACATGGGAATATATATGTGGGTAGGAAAAAAATCTTTTTCTCAACATTATATTAATGTCCAAGCATCCTCAGATAGTGTAGATCATGGTCCCTAGGGGGTACATGTAGGTGGGACCACAATTGAGGATAAGAGTTTTGTTTGGGAATACTGTGGAATCATTTAAATTCGTGGGGGTCAATGTTCGTGGACAAGCAAAATTTTATTGGTTCGTGGGGATGTAATTTCGTGGGCAGCTCGTTTATTTGGTAGATTTAATTAATCAGTACGTTGACAAAAAAATTGTTCGTGGGGATGTAAATTCGTGGGTAAGGATGACCCACGAAATCCACGAACATTGATCCCCCACGAACAATGATGATTCCACAGTATATAGAAAATAAAAAAAACTAAGCTAAGTAGGTCATTTATTGAGAAATCATAAGGACCTTGAAAATTTTCTTTTCTAGGGGACATCTAGCGATCAAACTGGTTTTATGATTACAGTGAGTGAATAACCTTTACCAGAATTAGAAAAATGTTGCACTTATCTCCTGGGTCCAGCATTCAGGCTCCAGCACTCAGGCTCCAGGGTGGGGCTAAGTTGGTCATATGTTGAAATGCAAAAAAAAAGGGGGGGGGGGAAGGAAAAAAGAAAAAAAAATTAAAAATGTTTGTGTTTACTTGTGGACATCTAGCAAGCAGACTATTTACATGATTACAATTAACACTTACCCCTCTATGGATATTGTAAAATTCATGTTTCCTTAATTGCCTGTGATTCAGGCCCAATGTGGGCTAAGATAGTTGTATATTGAAAATTCATTACATCTTTAAAAATTGTCTTCTTTTCTAAAGGAGATCTACTGGGCAATTTGATTTTACGATTAGAATGAATGAATATTTTAAAATTCATGTTCACTGCAGGCTCCAACAATCAGGCCCCATTGAGTGGGGTATGTTGGTCATATTTTGAAAATATATTGCCTTTGAAAATCTTCATATTTAATACTCATGGATATCTTTTTGCAAGATTGTAATAAACACTAAGCCCTCCTCCAAATTTGTAAAAGTGTATGTCCCCTTTGCCCCATTGACCCTTACTTCAGGCCCAAGGGTGGTCCTAAATTGGTCATATTGAAAGTAAATTATGTCTTCATTTTCTCTTAGGCAAGCAAATTGTTTGCATGAATATAATTAGCAGCTAGCCCTTTACAAAAATTATAAAATTCAGGTTCCCTTAGACCAAAGATTAAGCCAAAGTGGGTGGGGTTTTTAGTCACTGAGAATTTATACATGTGTCTTTATTATCTGAATTAATTACCTCAACATTGGATATTTCTACAACAAAATGTTAAAATATATCCTGTTGGTATAGACTCAATAATTTTTCTACAAAAAAATTACAACATTATAAGGAAATAATTTAAGCACACTGAATTAAATTTGGTTGTTAACATAATCAGTGATATTATATAAAGAAAAAGACATACAGTTATAATTATGTTTTAATTTTATATAATTATTGCTTTTCAGTCCTTATTAATTCCTGATAGGCTGTGCTTATATACCTATTTCAATTGACATTGTCTGCATTTTTTGAGTTAACCACCTTGTCTTAAATGTATAGTTAACTACACTTATGATATTTTTTGATGTTGTAATTTATATGAATTAATCCTAAAAAAATTGACAAGATGATATAAAAAAGATAAATTTATGTTTAAATCATGTGAAATGTACTTAGGCGTTTGAATATGAAAGTCAAATCTTGTTGTCCTGAATCACCTCACATTTTAAGCAAATTATCGTTATCTGACATTTATGGAAAGAAAGACGGAAAGACTTGTTTGTCAGCTTGTATGAAGGAGTCTTATATATTAGTAAATTAGTGTATACATCCATTGAAACCCTGGAGCAATTTTTAGATAAATATACCCTAAATTTTTGATATTCATGGTTGAATTCCTATGTTATAGAGTAAAATTGTGTTCATTGATGTATGACTTGTTCGGAGACATGAGGTACATTTTGAAGGGCAACACACATCACTAGCTGTTTCTCTGACTTGTTAACGTGACATTATGCACACTCAAATGACCCTCTAAAAGCAGCCAAACTTTAATTACACTGGATGAATTTTTGAGATGTGGTTAGGGAATATTTTGACATTAATACAAGAAATGTACCTTTGGAAGGACTTACTATTTGTCTTACACCAAAATGTGTGAAACACGGATAACTTTCCCAGATTTTTCCGATTCTGATAATGAGCTTGAATTTTCCAGTGATTCAGGTACGTTTTACTTTATGATAAACTTTAAATTTCACAGTTTTAAAAAGGAAAAATCCTAAAACAGATTCAAGTATGTACTTAAATTTAATTTTTATTAAATCTATTTTTTAATTGGTGGTGATTAGTGGTGACTATGCACTTGATTCATTTATCATTTTGCATGTCACTGACTCAGGTGATGTTGGGTATGCATGTAGACTAAATTCAGTTTTATTACACTTGTTTTTTTTAAACTAATTTAAGGAAGTGTTGGCTTCCTTTCAAGTTTTATTAGCTCATCTGTCCATTGTGTGGATGTGTTTACTGTTGTTTGTAAACTTTTGAACATTTCCAGCTTTTTCTCTGGAATGACTGAACCAATTTTAACAATTCTGGTATATAGCATTATGGGCAAACTGCCACAAAGGATAACAAAAATTATATTCACCTCCTTGGGGCCTGAGGGGTGGGACCAATATTATAAAAATTAATTCTTCAAAAAACTTCTTTATTCCTGAACATGAAGCTGCAAAACTGTTGGTATAATTATGATAAATATGGATCCCTATACCAAGATTGTGAAATTCATGATAACTTTTCAGTGGTTGGAGCTAGGACTTTCATATTACACATGTGTATCCTATGTGACAAGACTTCCCTTGGGTACCAACAATTTTGACCTTGGGAGTTTGACCCACTTTTGAAAAACTTTAGCCTTGGCTATATTTTTGAACTATTGGTACTAGGGCTTTCATATTTCACAAGTGCATTATTTCTGGTGACAAGACATTTCCAGGGGTACCAATGGTTTGACCTTTTATCATTGACCTTGGAGTGTGACCTACTTTTGAAAAACTTTAACCATGGCCATAACTTTTGAATGGTTGATGCTAGGGCTGTTATATTTCATATGTGTATTCCTTGTGACAAGACCTTCCCTTGGAAACCATTAATTTTGACCCTTTGACCTTGACCTTGGAGCTGACCTATGTTTGAAAAACTTTAACCATGACCATAACTTGTGAATGGTTGGTGCTAGGGCTTTTATATTTCATATGTTATTCCTTGTGACAAGACCTTCCTTTGGGCACCATTAAAATTGACCCTTTGACCTTGACCTTGGAGTTTGACCTACTTTTGACAAACTTTAACCTTGCCCATAACTTTTGAATGGTTGGTACTAGGGTTTTTATATTTCACAGGTATATTGATTATTCCTTGTGACAAGACCTTTCTTTGGGTACCAATATTTTCTATCTTTTGATTTTGACCTTTGAGTTTGACTTGTATTTCAGAAAGTTTAACCTTTGCAATTAGCTGTCATATGGAGGCATCAGTGTTTCACAAACACATCTTGTTTACTCTACTTTGAGAGAAGCTATTACCTTTAGATTATTAGATTATTCACCAATGATAATAAGTAACTCAGGTGACTGTTACAGCCGTTGGGCCTCTTGTTTTGACAAGGAGATGGGGTTAGAATAATTGTTGGTGTAGAGAACTGCACACAGTGTAGTTGTATGGAATAATATACAGTAAAACACGGTTATAGCGAACACACTTATAATGAATTCATGCTTACATCAAATTGATTTTCAATCCCTGTGGTTTTAAAACATATTGTAATCTTAACGGATATAACGAATCAAAATTGAACGTCCATGGCACTTCGCTATAAGCGTGTTTTACTGTAATATTTTACAAATCACACACAGTCTTGTATTTGAGATATGTTGTTGTTAACAGAAATATTACATAAAAACAGGTATTTCTGTAAATTTGTGAATATTGATTCTTCAATAAAATACATTTTTGTCCTGCTATTTGATGGAATTAGGGGGAGATAGTTACGGTATGGATTTTTGACTCTTAATTAGCTTCAATTTAAATTTCAATAAAAATTCAATTTGAAATGGCATGAATAAAATGGGTCAGTATACCATATTGATATTTCCTTGTTCCACGTATATAATGCTTCCAAGCAATGCCTTTGTCATACACTATAGATTATCCATACATAGATGATATTCTTTTTAACGGTACATTCTCTGTATCAATAATCATACACCTGTATGATAAGTTCGTGTGTATTATATTCGAATGGCATTTCCCATATGAAAAGTACGAAGGCGGGTTTAGAGGGAATATGTTAGCATATTCTTTTTTTAAATTTACTAATAGAAGTTGCTTCTCTTGCCTCTCGTGTAAGGGAATTCGTTAAATGGCATATCTTGTGTTTGTACACATGCACAGACTCTATTTTCTGGGTCTGAAAGTCCTATTTCCTGTGACTCCATTTCAGGGGGTTGTCTGTATTATTAACATTAGCCTTTACTTTTAAGCTATAATTGAAAGAGATTTTATATATTGCTAAGGTGAAGGTTGGGATTCAAAATCTTTAGGTCAAGTCATATGTCAACTGGGTAGTTTAAACAGGAAAATTACATGGCTTTATATCGGTAAATAAAAACAAAACTATACATTTCTTGAATTAAACAATTTCTGAGTAGACTTGATTTGAAAAAAACAACAACTAATAAATATGTTAAATTTTATTTTTATTTTTCAGAGGTTCTTCTCAGCAAAGTAACAGCTGCAGACAACTCAGACTCAGATGATGATAGTGCTGTAAAGTCCACTAAAATTGAATTACAGGAGTGTCACCTTCAGACTGCCCCAGTAGAGGATGATGGGATACCATCCAAGTCTACCTGTGGCTCCATCTATGTGGTCTGTGCCTCAATCATGGCCTCTCTTGGAGGAGTGTTGTTTGGATATGACATAGGTATAGTGTGTGTATAGTGATAGATCAAGAATCAAGGAGGCCTTAACTACATAAAAAGGGGGAAAATACATTTGTCACAGTGCATGCTGTTTAGATAGTGTTACTGATATGAGTATACTTAGTACTGGTATAAGTGGTACATGTATTTAATTATGGACCATACTGGAAAGAAAACTTGTTGTAGGCTGAATAATGCACTTTTTCTTCTTTGTTATATATGTATACACAATTTTAAGGAAGTATATATTTCTAGTAGATAAGTAAAAGTCAAACAGAACTGTAAAAGGGAAAGGTAACTTGTGGTGTTACCTTTCAATATAATTAGACCTACCTTTACATTTAGAATTATTAAATGCAGCTTGAAAGACAATTTTAATGTTTTTGAAAAATTCAACACCAGGGATTGGGCTTTCAGACTAATAAAAAAAAACCCACAAAGATAAGCATTCTCATATTGTACAGCAATACAGTTTATCCTTCATCAGAAGCCCTTTTCCCCTTTTTGGACCCCATTTCTCTCATATGGTCTTCCCACTATAAATTCACTGTACAGGCATTGATCAGCAGCCTTTTTTGTTCACTGACAGGAATCATATCTGGAGCAGTACTACAGTTGAGGGATGACTTTTAATTGTCTGTCTTGTTGGTAACAGCTTTCCTTTTCTCACTGACAGGAATCATATCTGGAGCACAGCTGAGGGATGACTTTCGTCTGTCTTGTTGTTAACAGCTTTCCTTTTCTCACTGACAGGAATCATATCTGGAGCACAACTGAGGGATGACTTTTGTCTGTCTTGTTGGTAACAGCTTTCCTTTTCTCACTGACAGGAATCATATCTGGAGCACAGCTGAGGGATGACTTTCGTCTGTCTTGTTGTTAACAGCTTTCCTTTTCTCACTGACAGGAATCATATCTGGAGCACAACTGAGGGATGACTTTTGTCTGCCTTGTTGGTAACAGCTTTCCTTTTCTCACTGACAGGAATCATATCTGGAGCACAGCTGAGGGATGACTTTCGTCTGTCTTGTTGTTAACAGCTTTCCTTTTCTCACTGACAGGAATCATATCTGGAGCACAGTTGAGAGATGACTTTTGTCTGTTTTGTTGTTAACAGCTTTCCTTTTCTCACTGACAGGAATCATATCTGGAGCACAGCTGAGGGATGATTTTCGTCTGTCTTGTTGTTAATAACTTTCCTTTTCTCACTGACAGGAATCGTATCTGGAGCACAGCTGAGAGATGACTTTTGTCTGTTTTGTTGTTAACAGCTTTCCTTTTCTCGCTGACAGGAATCATATCTGGAGCAGTACTACAGTTGAGAGATGACTTTTTTCTGTTTTGTTGTTAACAGCTTTCCTTTTCTCACTGACAGGAATCATATCTGGAGCAGTACTACAGCTTAGGGATGACTTCTGCCTGTCTTGTTCCTTCCAGGAGATGGTCATCAGTGCCATGTTAATGGGAGCTATTGCTGGCTCACTTATTGGAGGTAATGATAGATATTTCAAGCAAAAGGAATTTGAATTCTTCTTAATTGATATGCACTAATTGCTCAAAAAGTTTCCATTTCCTCTTAAATCATTATAAATACTCATATAAGTAAGAGTTATTAAGAACACATATATTATTATAATACATGTAAGTAAGGAAAGACTTTTTTTAAGGAATGCAAATCCTAAGTATCGATGACAACTTGATCACTATCTGCATAGGCACGCACTTCCTTTCCAATATATTTTTCAAAATTTTTTTTATTTCAGGGGTTTTAATTGACAAATTTGGAAGGCGGTTGACCATCATTGTGAATACAGTAGTGTTTTTGGTTGGAGCTCTTGTGTTAGGCTTTTCACCAAATTACCCTTCCCTGGTAGGTAGGATCGATTATTCCTCACTGCTAGAGGGATGTCTAATTCTCCTAATACTAACCTTTGGTATAATCCAGGATTTGTGATATTCTACCATTGTGAAATGACTGCACACTGGTGATAAGTGTTGGGGATTTCAACAACCTACCCCACACTTTAGGTTGAATTTACAATTCTAACAAAATTACCCAGTATGTGTGGGAAGAGTTTTACCTTCTTCCTAACCTGTCTCTCCTGTATAGAGCTACCTTTCTGTCGAAGGTTAATTATGATTCTTGCCAAATTACTCATTCTGGTAATAAGGAATTTTAAAAGTTCTCCACACTGGTGAGAATATTCAAGATTATTAGTTCAAGTCAATGTAATCCTCCCAAAATACAATTCCTTGATGCTTTTCCTTTTGCATTTACATTAATCTCCAGTATCCCCACTACTGTAGATTCCTAAACATATGGGAGAAATTTACTATTGCAGAATTTCTCAAGAACCCCCATTTGTGACCTTAAAATTACTCACTTTTATTGTTATTCTGAAATACTTGTTAATTGTGATTAACAGACCACTTTCAAAATCATGTTCTTGCAATTTAATGTCAGTGAGTCAATTTACGATTTGATGTCAGCGAGTCAAATCACAATAATTATCAATTAAATTTATTGACATCACCATGTTGGTATACAGTCAAAATAAGAAGTCAAATGACTAATTAAGTACTTGGGCATAATAGGAATCTACAGTATCTTTACCTTGCATTATATTGTCTTTGTTTGTTATGCTGTAGTGGATACTTCTTGTGTGATTTTCCTTTTCTCACTGTGATGATATTTAACAGATCGTTGGCCGTCTCCTATTAGGATTTGCTGTTTCTTTGTCAGCCACAGGAGAATGTATCTACATCTCAGAAATCGCACCCCCTGTAAGTCAGGAGCCACATTTTGTGCTCTTTAATTAATATCATTAATCAAGAAATTAAAAAAAATGTCAATGTTATACCTTCTGGTAAAGACAACTTACATTATATCTACTGTATCTTTATGTGTCGTAGAATGCATACTGTGGAAACATTAGATTTCACAGTGGCTCATTATTCGTGCAATTCGTGGGTACTCTGCATCCACAAATTCACATCATCAACGGATTAAAAATTGGGATATTAAGAGTCATTTTTCCTTTTGAAGGTATGAGTGAATGCACGAAATTACATCCCCTCAAACCTGTAAAATTTAGGCTATTCCACAAAAATTGGCCCACACGAATTTTAATGATTCCACAGTACCCATAATTTGTGAGATATTACATGCGTGCTTGTAATAAGAAATTCTTCTTGCTTTCAGAAAAAGCGAGGTCAGTTAGTATCATTGAATGAACTTGGGATCACACTTGGACTTCTGCTGGCATATCTAGTCAACTACTTATTTATCAATGTCACAGAGGGATGGTAAGACAATTCTGTGGTGTCATGTGTGATTTTATGCCTTCATGGTTTTAAATTCAATTTTAATCAATGCAAGCACTCATAAGTAAGTGATTCATGTTGACAATTTATGTTGAATCTCTAGAATATTAAAAAAATTGTATAAATAAATATTCTGTTAAGTAAGATTTATTACCAGTTATCCAAAATTTAGTTTTTAATATGTTGTCATTTTGATATTAATACTGTCTGAGAAAACAGCACAATTTGTGAAAATATTTAATATGATTCATTTTAAGTATATTTCTATTATTCAGGCGGTACATGTTTGGTCTATCAGCCATTCCTGCAGCAATACAAGGAGTAGGGATGTTCTTCCTCCCTAGAAGTCCCCGGTACCTCATCCTCACGGGCAAAGAAGCAGAGGCAAGTATTTGGAATACATACACACTACTTTCTTGCTACTTACTTACAACCATGGAGAGCAAAAAGGAGGGGGGAAATGTAGTAACTAGTGTTATGTGTAAGATTTTAAGGTACTTTTCTTTGACAAGTATTTCTATAATGATTGTTTAATTGGATTTTAACTACCTGTACTTTTATAATGATAAGAATTTTGCCCATGACTGCTATCTTGTGATCAGTTGGTTATGGTGGTAAACATATTTTGTGTTTGACAGGCAGAGGAAGTGTTATTAAAACTGAGGGATGGAAAGAAAATACAAGTACATCGGGAGTTAGAAAAGATAAAATCATCCATTAGCAATGAAAAGGTAGGGAACATTTTATCTCACCAGTACATGTATTAGTTTTTACTCAAGTATAGGTTTACCTCTAAACATTATTGATCTAGACCAATTTTATTGAAAAATTCATTTTTTTCTTTGTAATGAGCATATCTAATTTTGAAGAGTTTCATGATGTAATGTTAACTTTAAATTTTTTTGAGCCAGTTAAATTTTTATGATTTCTGATTCCTTATAAATCTGTATACTTTTATTGACAGGAACACACTTGTATGGACGTCTTTAGCTCCAGTGACAACATGAGAGGTCGGATGTTCATTGGAGCAGGGCTTGTATTCTTTCAACAGGTACTGAAGCGGAAATCTTGTGGCTGATATTGTATCATTATGATTGTATAGGTTATTGTCATCCTATAAAATAGTTGCCAGGGGATATTGTAAATGATCTGTATGTGCATCCTCCCATAATCTTTTTCTCTGATCAGCACTAAGGACATAATATTTCACCTTTTAATCAAACCTTTTTACGGTGGCACTAGGTGACCAGAGGAACAAGGTATTGATTTAAGGGTCAAAGGGTCAAAGTCATTACATCTCCAAATCAATGTTGTATACACAATTTAAAGAAAACTATGAGTATTTGATTGTTTTACCTTATACTGTCTATAAAGTAATTAAAAAATATGCTCAAACTTTCAGTGTACAGGGCAGCCCAATGTTTTATACTATGCCCCCACCATTTTTGAAGGAATAGGATTCGAGTCCAACTCAGCAGCCACATTAGCCACTGTAGGACTGGGCTGTGTGAAGGTGAGTGTTAAAGGCCAGAAGTACCACTACTAGTTCAAGGGTCATTTAAATATGTGTATTGTACATGTATATAATGCTGATTTGGAAATATCAAGTGTTGGTCAGTTTCAGTTCATTATTATGAAACATGTTGGAAGTATAAATTTAAATCTCCCTGCAAGAAGGAGAGATACTTTTACCTGATATTTTTATTGAGACAGTGCAATATTTGTTATAGGTGGTGATGACTGTGATAACATTATGTTGTGTTGACAAGTGGGGCCGACGCCGATTCCTCTTGACAGGTGCCTCATTAATGGGTGTGTCCCTCCTTCTCCTGGGGATCATTTCTCATTTAAATGACCACATTTACGGATCCAATCCTTGCCAGGAAAGTGTTCAGTGTTTAGAAGCTTTAACGGAAGCCAACCATAACTTTTCAATACCTTACACTACAACCCCCCAGATGTTCTCTATAAATGATTCTTACACGTTATCAGAATTGGACTGGTTGTCTTACATTATGGATAACTATACTGCTACAACAACAGAGGAACCTCACGTACATATCCATGGATCCACTGTTGGCAAAATAGCGGCCTTCACAGCTCTGATGCTATACGTGGCTGCTTTTGGTTTCAGTTTTGGTCCAGGTAATTAAAGTGCAAGTATCTGTAGTCAAAATATTTATGGGTATGCATTTTGAGCTTCAAAATGCTTCAGCAATTAGAGTTGGTATGACTGTGTTGGAACATTGTGCTTGACCACAGCATTAGTAGTATTTACCCGAGAAGCTTAACATGATATACCAGTGTTTACCAGTATATTTTGTCTGTGTAGGTTCATTTAAGCCTGAGACTTTTGTTCCTATCTATCTGTTTTATGAGATTTCCTTCAGTGCTTATTCCCTGTTTAATTTTCTAGTGTCCTGGTTGATCCTGAGTGAAATCTTCCCAGCATCAGTGAGGGGGAGAGCCATTTCTCTGGCCACGGTGCTCAACTGGGGAACCAATCTCATTGTATCGCTCACTTTTCTGGATATCCTTGGTAAAGACCACATTTTTCTTTCCAAATAGTTTGAGATTTGATAGGCCACAGTGTTTGCAAAATAAGATTATCCCATCTCATATTCAAAGTTTAAAAAATATTAGGGTTTGAAAAAAAAAAACAACTTCAAATACTGAACACAGACTTTCTTCTGAGTACTCTGGAGTATATTTTTATATTTATATTTGTAGAAAACATTGGTGTATCTTGGACTTTTGTGATGTTTAGTGCCGTTTGTGCTCTGTCTGTGGTCTTTATCTTCTTTGCTGTACCAGAAACCAGAGGGAAATCCCTGGAACAAATTTCTAAAGAACTCAATAATAGGTACGTGGGGATGAATGTAGCAAGACAGAATATAAAGCAATAAATTATAAATATACCTTCACAAAGATATACATGTGTGTTTTTTTTCTATTTAATAAATCATTGAAAACTGGAAAAAAATATTCTTGGTGAATTATGGTAAGTTTAGCTCACCTGGCCTCAACACCATAAACTGAAAACAGACTGAAGTCAAAATCTTTATTTTGAATATCTTGATTTTTGGTCTACATATATTCTTCAAAGATTGGAGTTTTGTATAACATTCAAATACAAACACAAGATGAAATATCAAAATGACTTCAAAAGTTATATCAATTTGAAATTTCGACTTAAGGACGTTCATAATCTCAATTTATGGTCTTGAGGCCAGGAAGAATTTCCTGAGAGCTATAGTAATATTTCTGGCATTAGCAACACCAGTGTTAAGCAGGGCCTCATTGTACAAAAGAACTTATAACTAAGACCAAAATAATTTTGCAAATAACTTTCTTTTTCACATTTATTTGAAAACGATCAATCTTTTTGAAACAAATAAAGAGTACATGATATTTTTATGCCAGAAATTTTTAACAGAAACATTAATTTTGCAGGATTTTACAACCAACCAAAGATTTTGGTCTTTAACATAAGTTCTTTTGTAAAAAGGACCCCATGCAGGTCTATGGTTTTAAATTCTTAATGATTTTTGAATTCGTCAGCATTGAGTTTTAAATTTGTAGTGATAGCTTAGAACTAGCATACCTGTCCAATACAGCACAGTCTGGATTCATCTTGGAACAAAGTCCAGATTTTATTAAAAAAAAAATTCAACTTTTTGGTTAAAGTTTTTAAGATTTTTTTTTAGAGGGATGACTTTCATGTATGAAGTTAACTTGAAATTGTTGGTCAGCTGGGGATGACTCATATTTTGATGCATGCATATTGGAATAGCTTATAGGGTTAGAGTATATATGTACCCATCTGATTATAGTTGATTTATAGTTTCCATATTCATAAGGCAGTTTTCTTGCTTGTTACTAACCACCTAGTACAAGGGGGATAACTTGTATTTTGTGTTTACAGATCTCTGAAATCAGGAATCCGAGCCTACTGTAGAAGACTTCACTGTTGTCAGCCATTATACAACTCTCCAGTGAAATCACCTAATTACCACAGGGTACACAGCACTGATTCCTTCAATGAAATCTCCTGATTACATGACTAAAACTCTCAAAAATGAATGGTTTGTACATGACTATAACACTCAGAAATGAATTGTATAAGAACACCCCAAATTAATATGTACACTTTGATAAACTTCGTGCTATAATTGCAGGTTACAAATTTTTTATTTGCTTTGTTATTATTATTCTGTCTCAGCGTAGTTAGATTTTCCTTTTACACTAGACTATATCCTGATTTCTGTCAGGAGTAAATACTCTCTAACAAAAATCATACATGAGTTCATACTTATGTTTGTATGCTGTCGTATGTTTTTAGTTCTGTTGGTCAGAGACCAGAAGAGCTTATGCTGTTGTAAGGTGTCCATTGTCTGTCTGTTTCGGTAAACAGTTTTTCTTAATGCTACTCCTCCTACAGTTTTGGTCTGATTTCAATAAAACTTGGTACACAAGTAGAATACATTAAATATATAATTCTTTTTATTGGTTTTTGATTTCTATAGTTACTAAAATTAGGAATTTCCGTGAAATTAATTCAAAACACTATTCTTCCTACAGTTATAATCTAATTTCAGTAAAACAGGGACTTCATTAAGATCATAATTCTGTATATCATTTTTATGATGGCAGACAGCTGCTGCCACTTTCTGATTAAGAATATTGTCATGTTTCACAAGGTTTTTGTCTATTTTTGCTGACAAATTACACCTAAACTGGTAATGTACATGTACAATTATTAGACTGAAAATTTCCACCAGAGAAAACCATTAAAATTCTTTCCTGTGATATGAAATGTAGATAGGTTATTAAATGTAGATAAGGTTCTAAAGAATGCAAGGTCTACCGGTAGGTAATTCTAAATTTCAACAAATGGTGTTGTCATGTTTATCAAAAATGGGAATTTTTGTGAAATTCTTTCAAAACAATACTTCTCAAACAGTTTGGTCCAATTTCAATAAAACTTGGTACAAAATACAATGTAGACTACATTAAGGTACATAACTCTGTCTATTGGTTTTGATTTTGATGGTGTTGCCATGGTAACTTAAATAGAAAATTCTGTGAAATTCTTTAGAAAGGCTACTTCTACATTTTTAATATGATTTCAGTAAAACTTGCCAAAGAGAGACTTAACCAGAGATCATTATTCTATTCAATGGTGTTCCCATAGTTTCAAGTCCAAGAATCTACTTTTTTCCTCCTTTGTGATAGTAGAAACCAATAGAGCTACAGTCTCACCAGACTTCTGGTTATTTTTCTTTTTAGAAAATTTTGGACAGAAAAATTCACTTGAGCCTTCAGCTCAAGTGAATTTTTCTGTTCAAAATTTGTCCATTGTCTGTTGTTGTTGTCGTCCTTGTTGTTGTCATAATCTTTTTACAATTTCATCTTCTTCTGCAGAACCACTGGACTAATTTCAACCAAATTTGGCACATAGTATCCTTGGGTAAAATGGGTTTAAAGTTTTCAAATGAAGGGCCATACCTTCTTCCAAGGGGAGAAAAAGTAAGAAAAAGTAAAAATGAGTAGGTCATTTAAAAATCTTCTCAAGAATCACTGGGCCAGAAAAGATGAAACTTCTATGAAAGCTTCCTGACATTGTGTAGATTAAAGTTTGTTCAAATCATGACTCCCAGGGCTAGGGTGGGGTCACAATGGGCAAACAAAGCTTTACATACGAATATATAGGCAAAATCTTTAAAAATCTTTTTCTCAAGAACAGCAAACCCATGCTTGGACATATTTATATGGAAGCATCCTCAGGTAATGTAGATTCAAATTTGTGCAAATCATGACCCCTGGGTTAAGGATGGGGCCACAATGGGTGATCAAATTTTTACAGTACATAGGAATTTGTATTAGGAAAAATCTTCTTCTCAAGAACAGCATAGCCATGATTAGTTATATTTATATGGAAGGGTCCTCAGGTAATTCATTTTTTTTTTAAATCATGACCCCCAGGAGTAGGATGGGCTCACAACGAGTGATCAGAGTTTTACATGGGAATATATGTGTAACGGGGACTGGGTACGTCGGCCCGGTAGCTCAGTGGTTAGAGTACCAGCACGGTTAGCGGGAGGTCCCGGGTTCGAGTCCCAGTCTGACCGACATTTTTCCCCGCCTGTTACATATGTAGGAAATGTCTTTAAAAATCTTCTTCCAAGAAACAGCAAATCCATGACGTCATATATTCAGAAGCATCCTTAGGTAGTGTAGATTCAGGTTTTTCAAATCATGTTCCCAGGAGGTAAGGCATAATAGATCAAACATGTAGAAAAAAATCTTATAAAGCCATGATTAGTCAAAGAAATATGGAAGCATCTTCAGTTAGTGTAGATTCAAATGTAAACAACTCATGTCCCACCCCCTTCTGGGGGGGGGGGTATATTTGCAATTGCAATCACTTATTTATTTAATCTTTTCAATACTACTGCTTTTTCCTAGCCAATGTGCTCAGGTGAGTGATATGGCTGTGGGCCTCTTATTCCTTTTTTTTGTTATCAACAATAATTTGCATAATACATGTATACAATTCATATGACATAAAAGTACTTAGTAATGATTTTCATCATATGGAGTATGTGGAAATCAGATCAGAGTTGTGATAAAACATTTTTGTGAGATTGTACATTTTTGTTTCATATACAACATTAGTATTCTAACCATAGACTATCTTGAATATTGTCCCAGAAGTATTGAACATGTATTGAAGGATTCATGTAACCAGTAAACCAGAGTATTGCTTTATTATTAATTCTATGAATTAACTTAATTAACATTATTTTTCTCATTATTGAATTATTTATCAATTGTCTTTAAATTATACATGAAATTCACATGGCTGGCTGTGAATTCCCAGAATTGTCTATGACTCTTTGTTTTATCAGAAATAGGGATCATTGTTATTTTAGAACAAAGCCAGTTGTTTACCATTTTACATTGACATTAAAAATGTATTCATTACAAATGATCAAATTTACATTTGCTTATTAAATTTCATATTATATTATAAGTTGTACATATATCTTTTAAATACATGTTTCATGTATAAAATCAAGGATTTTTTCATGCTTGTATATTAATTTTCTTTATTTTGTAGTATTAAAGAGATTATTGCTCTATAAACAAAATTTACTTATTTCAGTGATTTTTTAATTTATTTTCTTCAGTTTGAATGTAGGAATCCTCAAGTTTTATGGACTTGAAATAAAAGTGCTATCTGATACTTGATTATGTTTATGATTTTTGTAACCATTTATATAACAGTGAACAGTCCTTTCTCTGTGACATAAAACCATCACACGCATACAATCGGCATCATCAGCGAGCATTAGGAGGATAGATAACCTTAAAACAGAGTTTACTATAATTTTCTGTATTTGCTTAAATGCTAATGTAACAGGAGAGGAGAAAAATGTGACGGACATACAAAAATTCGAACCTGGGCGCCCTGAATCTCCAGTCAGGTGCTCTACTAACTATCTGGCCACCAGTGATGAAACCCTTCTGACCACCACACTAATTTTAATAAATGCTGAATGTATGCTATTAATGATGACTGTATGCCACTTATGCTGAAGAATGCCCACAATTAATCAGAGTATATGCCAACATTAATTAATAGCACACAGCATTGTTAGCTTCAGCATATCCAGAAATACAGTCAAACCCTATTATCTCCAACTCGATGGGACTGAGAAAAAACTTTGAGATATCAAGGGAAAATACTTAATACATATTTTCAAGACAGAGTCGAGATGAGCTTATGCTCTACCCCCGGCATTGGTGTCCCAGTTAAAGTTTTAGGAGCAAGTCCATTCCCAAGTAACTATAACCCTACCTGGACCAAACTTGCATGGATGATGCATCTAAGGATGAAAACTACCAGACATGCTTCGGATGCTGGATCTGACCTAGATTTTCCAGATAAGTGACCAGGTTAAAGTTTTTGGAGCAGCAAGTATCTTAAGTCCTACTTGGACCAAACTTGCATGGATGATGCATCTAGGGATGGACACTACCAGACTTGCTTCAGATGCTGGATCTGACGTAGATTTTCCAGATGAGTGACCAGGTTATTTGAGCAGATCCATCCCAAAGTAGCTATAAGCTCTACCTGGACCAAACTTGAATGGATGATGCATCTAGGGATGGATGCTATCAGACATGCTTCGGATGCTGGATCTGATCTACTTTTTCCAGATGAGTGAATTTTAGCCATACTTTAACAAAATTAGCATGGATGATGTATCTAGGGATGGACACTTCTAGACTTCCTTTGGATGCTGAATTTGACCTATTTTTTCCAGATGAGTGAACAGGATAATTTTTTTGGAGTAACTCTATAATTATGTGGCCTGTTATGACTAAGTTTGCATGGATGATTTTTCTAAGGATGGACACTTCCAGTCTTGCTTCGGATGTTGGAACTGACCTACATTTTCTTGATTAGTGAACAAGTAAAAGTTTTTGGAGCAGGTCCATTTCCAATTAACTAACCTACTTAAGCCAAACTTGCATGTATATTGATCTTGAGATGCACGCTAACTAGGAAAAAAATATGATGCAAGATTTGCCAAGTACTGAAAGATATCATTCGTCGAGGTCAGCTTCGTAATCTTTGATTACCTGTTTCTTATGTTTTAGCACTATCCTGATATACTACAGTGTTGTCAAGTAAAACTTATTAATAACACACATTTATAAATCTAAATCTGCATAAAATCACCAATAACTAGCATACATTGAAAAATGTAAAAAAAAAAAAAAAAAAAAAAAATTAAAAAGAGCATTCAGTATCACTGCTGTAACTGAAAAAGGACTTGTGTTAGCAGTCATATAAGCATTTCTCCTCAAGATTTCACTTTCTGAACATCAAGTCTCTACATTTTCAGTATGCAGGGCTTATTTGACCCTTTATAGTAACAGGGTCCTGTACCTTTTCAATTGGGGATTTTCGTTGACAAATTGCCGTTTTGGGAAAAATAGTTTCACTGTATCACATCCCTTACAAGATATAGCTTTTATCTTTTCCCAGTGCACAAAACACTTGCTGTTAGGCAGATAAATGTGTTCCATGGTCTAAATCCATGGTCTACAGGTGGGCTCTTTCAATCCTTGCAGTTCAAGTAAATACAGTTTCTTTCCTGCTTCAGTTGCACATGTACCAGAATTACAATGTATTTCTATCACCTACAATCAAGGTTTGGGAAAAGTCAGAAAAGTCTACTGTAGACAGATATCTTAAGAAAATGAAATACCAAAATCACAATGAAGTTCCTAATTTTATTTATTGCACAAGTCCATAGCAATAGTTACAAATTCACTCCCCACAATATCTATAGCATGTGTATCTATAATATCAATATTTGTATAAAATAAATAGTAAAAAATAAATAGAGACAATAAAATATCAGCCACAACCCAATCTACTCTTATCTACATCCTAAAGAAC